GGGCTTGTCATTCTAAACTCAGACTCCTCAACAGTTCTGGTGCCCACCCAGCAGGGATGCTGCATCAGCCCCCACCCCCTGTCTACCCGGCCGTGGACAGCGCTGCAGGGTGTCCAAACGGGTCTCTCTGGATCCCGCCAGCCCACAGGCAGCACCCCACCACTGCTGGGTATATGCACTGTAGCTAACTCTCTCCACCTGGTTTTTTGTTTTGTTTGAAATTGATTTCAGAGAGCAAGGGAGAGGGAGAGAAAAAAAAAAAAAATCAATGATCAGCTGCCTCCTGCACGCCCCACACTTGGGATGGAGCCCAAAACCCAGTCAAGTGCCCTGAGGGAAAATTGAACCGTGACCTCCTGGTTCATAGATCATCGTTCAACCACAGAGCCACATCGGCCGGGCTAACTGTCTCTGCTTGTAAAGTGTTTTATCCGTGTGCATTTAACAGAAATAGGGTAAGCAGGGGATGAAAACCAGATCCAAACACAAGCAGGGCCTGTGAGTAGAGGGGACTGGAGTCTGGCCTTTGGGGTGCCGGGGGTCCTGGCTTCCTTCTGCCTTTCGCACCTGGTGAAGAGGACGGGAGCCTAGGGAAACCACCGAGCGGGGGGGCGGGGGCAGGAGAGTGGCAGAAGCAGCCCAGTCTCCAAGCCTCACCTCCCCCAAGCTTGGTGGGTGAGAACATTGAACCAAACAACGGAGGTAAAAGGACCAGAATTAATCCTGCAGCGGGTGGAATCCTGCAGGGGACCCCGCAGAACATGCTCAGCCCTGTGGCCTGCAGGAGTCCGGGTCAAGGCCACTGGCTGCCCCGGGTCAGTGGCGCCAGCCCTGACGCAGGAAAGGCCACTCGTGCCCGCGCCCATGCCCTTTATCCGCCCCCTCTCCCCTTTCCACGCCCTCTCCATTCCCCGCCATCCACCCCTCTCCGGTCCCGCACCTGAGCCCTGCGGTTGACCTTGACAAACACAGGCCCAGCGTCGGTGTCGTAGGAGTGCCCCTCGCTGATGCAGCCCCCGCTGGAGCGCCCCAAGGCGCGCAGGGTGGCGGTGCGCAGCTCAGAGCGCAGCAGCTGCTCCATGGGGGCGGGGGCACTCAGAACACGGGAACCAGGCGGGCCAGGGGGACGCGAAGAGGGACCCAGGATGGTGCCAACTGCCCAGCCGGGGCCGCGAGCTCGCCGCTGCCCAGGCCGCTGCGCGCGGGATAGGCGACTGGGACTGGTCCGCGGGCCAGCGAGCTCTGAACGCCGGGCTCCGGCCTCCCAGGCTCCGCCTCCCCGGAGGGGTGAGGAGGGAGAAGCCGGGCAGGGAGGGAAGAGAAGGGAGGGGGGAGGGAGAGACAGAGAGAGAGAGGAGGGGCAGGATAGAGAGAGGACGTCTCAAAGGGGGGGGGGGGGGGGCAGAGCGGGGCGGTGCTCTCCCCATGCGTCTGCATAGTTAGTGTTCCTGGACAGTCCAGGTTGGGGGTTCACCCACTGGGGGCGCTCACGGCGCCCTGGAGGCAGGGCCTGACCTCCCTGCAGAGAGGTTCCAGGAGCCCTCCCAGGACCTGAACCCCGCCCCCTCAGCAGGCGACCGGACACAGCCCTGGAGAGGCCCAGTCTGAGGCCTGGTTAGGTCTTCCCCTGACCAGACAAGCCTGGGCTCTCAGCCACGTCCTGCCAGGCCCAGGCACTGCCCAGTGGCACCCACTGCTGGCCTTGCCTTTGTTCATGGGGCACCTGGTGACCATCAGCAAGACAAGCAGCTCTGGAGCTTCCGATACCAGGCAAGGCGGTTGACCCCACCCGCGTGGGACTCCTGATTACAAGAGACCACAGCGATGAGAAGGAACTTCATTTTTTAAATTATTTTTTAAAAATATTTTTATTGCCGGCCAGGACCGGTTTGGCTCAGTGGAGAGAGCATCGGCCTGTGAACTGAAAGGTCCCGGGTTCGATTCCGGTCAAGGGCATGTACCTTGGTTGCGGGCACATCCCCAGTTGGGGGTGTGCAAGAGGCAGCTGGTCGATGTTTCTCTCTCGGTAATGTTTCTAACTCTCTGTCCCTCTCAATTCCTCTCTGTGTAAAATCAATAAAATATATTTAAATATATATATGTGTGTGTGTGTGTGTGTGTGTGTGTATATATATATATATATATATATATATATATATATATATATATATATTTATTGCCGAATCCGGTTTGGGTCAGTGAATAGAGCGTCGGCCTGCGGACTGAAGGGTCCCGGGTTCGATTTCAGTCAAGGGCATGTACCTAGGGCTGCGGGCACCTCCCCGGTGGGGGACGTGCGGGAGGCAGCTGATCAGTGTTTCTCTCTCATTGATGTTCCTAACTCTCTAGCCCTCTCTCTTCCTCTCTGTAGAAAATCAATAAAATATATTTAAAAATATATTTTTTTATTGATTTCAGAGAGAAAGGGAGAGGGAGAAAGAGATAGAAACATCGATGAGAATCATCCATTAGCTGCCTCCTCAACACCCCACACTAGGAGCCTGAAACCCGGGCATGTGCCCTGACCTCCTGGTTCACAGGTCAACACTCAACCACTGAGGCACACCAGCTGGGCTTTACCTATTTTATGTATGCACCATTTGTCTTCTATACCTTATACCACAGCACAATGTACAGGCATTACACTGTTATTATTACAAATATATTTTTAAGTATATTTGTATTTACTTCAGAGAGGAAGGGAGAGAGAGAAACATCAATTCAGTCAAGCACCACCTGCCCCTGTGCCTCTCCCCCTCCCTCTTGGAACCTATGGACCCAACTCTGGAAGTGCTGTTTGGTACCTGTGAGCAGAAGGCCATCTGCATCCCCAACTGCAGATGGCTTCTGCTCACAAGTTGCCTCCCCCCAGGTGCCATGTAGCATGTCTCCGTTCTTGTTAACAGCTGGGGAAAGCTCAGGCCCAGCTCTCACGGCTGGCAGCGCTGTGCTGAGCGAGCTCCGGGGCCCAGGGGCTGCTGCGGGCAGAGGCAGCTGTTCCCAGCACCTGGCACAGCACCAAGAGGATTCTCCTGGGAGCGGGCCTGAGAGCCTAGCGGCCTGTCACTTTCTCGGGTGACCAGGTACCAGGGGAGGCTGCCCCCCCTTCCTCAGCCTCTCGGAACCCAGCGGGGCCTGTGAGTGAGCCCACTCCCGACCCCAGGAGCCAGAAGGTGTCCCTTCCTCTCACCACTGACTCCTGGTTCAAAACACCAGCCTGGGCACTCACCTACTCCACAGGTCCCACAGTTACAGGGATCTGAAATGCAGACTCGGCTTCTAAGGCCCTCTACCCGAACAAATACACATTCCACGCAGCATCTGTCTGCTCCGACTTGATTAACCACCGAGGAGAGCAGGTTCAGGTGACTAACGCTGGAAGACTTCAGGCTTGGGCACCCCAGGACCAAACCGTCTGGCAAGCAGGTCTGTGTCAACAGCACACAGCCCTAGCTGGTGTGGCTCAGTGGATAGAGCATCAGCCTGTGAACAGAAGGATCCCAGGCTCGATTCCGGTCTAAGGGCACGTACCCCATACTTGGGTTGCAGGCTCCTCCCAGCCCCCAGGCCTGGTTGGACTCCAATCGATGTGTTTCTCTCACATCAATGTTTCTCTCTGTCTTTCCCTCTCTCTTCCACTCTCTCTTAAAAATCAATGGAAAGCCGAAACCGGTTTGGCTCAGTGGTAGAGCGTCGGTCTGCGGGCTGAAAGATCCCAGGTTCGATTCCGGTCAAGGGCATGTACATTGGTTGCGGGCACATCCCCGGTGGGAAGTGTGCAGGAGGCAGCTGGTCGATGTTTCTCTCTCATCGACGTTTCTAGCTCTCTATCTCTCTCCCTTCCTCTCTGTAAAATATCAATAAAATATATTTTTTAAATCAATGGAAAATATCCTCAGGTGAGGATTAAAAAAATGAAAAATTTTAGAAAAAGAGTACAACAGCACACGTGCTATCGTCAGAAGCTGGCTCGGGCCCTTTCCCTCAGAGACAGTTTTCCCAGGATCAGGAAAAAAAAGCTAAAAGCTCAGCATATAGTAGTCTAGGCATTACTACCGGTAGGTTTCAAAGTTTGACAACTACAAGCTCTTAAAGTCACAGTCCCCTTTCCCTTCCCACACAAAGCAGAGGAGAAAAAATTAATCGAGCCAAAACCAGTTTGGCTCAGTGGATATAGCGTCAGCCTGCAGACTGAAGGGTCCTGGGTTTGATTCCGGTCAAGGGCATGTGCCTTGGTTGCGGGCACATCCCCGGTGGGGGGTATGCAGGAGGCAGCTGGTCCATGACTCTCTCTCATTGACGTTTCTGGCTCTCTATCCCTTTCCCTTCCTCTCTGTACAAAATCAATAAAATATATTTTTTTAAAAATCTATCCTCCCCACTAGTCTCGAGGAGACGACCAGTGTCCTAACACTGGTGCTCCCAGCCCTGTCCCAGACCTAGTTGGTGGCCACAAATGGGCTTCTTCCTTAAAATGCAACCCAGTTGCTTTCAACATCCCTTGTGTTCACAAATCTCACAGGGTGATGAGGAACAGCAGCTAAACTGCATCTGAGTAAAATATTAGAACAACCTCAGGCTACACCTGCCCTTAGTTTGAAGCTAGCTATCTCTTATTCAACGAAGTCAAGGAAAAAATTTGCTCTTAAAGAAACAGTTTATTACACTAGCACATTACAAAGGCTTCTTGGCAAATATCTAGGAAAAACATTGAATTATGGTTTAACTGAGGGAAATGGTGCCTTGCATCATTGAAACCTCGGGAAGTTCACACAAAAGCATTTGTTAGCATCAATGCCATTCATGACCACCCCTCATCCCTGCAAGAACAAGGAGGAACACTGGCTGAGTGCAGGCGTGTCTGAAGCAAAGGAACGACACTCGGCAAGCTGAGCGAGCGCAGACAAGGTGTGTGTGAAGTAGATTCAGTGGCTCCTGAATCTGCTAAGGACACCCCAAAGCCGCAGTTTGGCCACTCCCCAAATCATCTCCAGACCTGCTCAGCCTGAGGATGGTCCAGAGGTCACACAGAAAGCAAAGGGAATGTGCTCAGTTTGGGGAATGGGCGTTGTAAGATGCTCCTCGTAAGACAGTTTGGTGCCTAGACTACACCTCAGCCATCGAGTAGCATCATCCTGAACGCGGGTCATTCCTGGAGACAGAACGGGAGGGGATGGTGGAAGGTGCCCGCAGCAGCAGGGCGCGGCCCACTGCCACTTCCCTTCTCTGCCTTTGGGGAGTTGTTTGGTTTGACATGGCCCACACTGCAGGTCCCTCTGTTCACAGTATGAGCATGGGTCATCCAACCATGAGTCTAACGAAACGAACAGCTTTCGTAAGGTGGTCTGAAGGCTCTCCAGGTGTGTGAAGAAATGGGACAGAACCCCTGAAGAGGACTGGGGGAGCCAGAGGGTGAGGATCTGGTACATCTGAACCGAAGGCTCCGTCAGGCTCCTTGCCCAGGCCCCCCTCCGGAGCAGAGCAAGCTCTCTAGATGAGGTTCCTCATGATGTTGAGGGAGGACCCTCTGTACCCTGATCCGAAATGATTCCAGTGGTTCAAATAGTGGAAGAGCTGATACAACTTCAGGCGCTTCTCAAACCCAGGGGCTTTGGGGATCTTGCTGTGGTAGGCGGAGTAGAAGTTGCTGCTGAAGCCCCCAAACATGCCGGCAATTGCCAGCTCGTACTCCGAGTGGCCATAGAAGGAAGCCGGGTCAAAAATGATGGGCCCAGAGACATCCTCTGCCACGTTTCCTCCCCAGAGGTCTCCGTGGAGCAGAGCTGGCACAAGGTCCAAATCAAGGAACAAATCGGGAATCTTCAACTGCGAGGAGGAAAGACAGCCTCAGCGAATCAAGCGCCGCATGTGGGAGGGGTGCACACTCTTCCACGTGTGGCTGCGCGTGGCCCATGCATGGCTCAGGCAGGGTGACCTCCTGCCATCCAGCTGGCCGGCCCCCCACCTCCTATCAGACCACATCTCAGTGCTGTACCTGGCCTGCCACCTCTCCCTGGTGGGGCTGCAGGGCATGGTGAGCACAGGGCACAGCGGGGCACTTACCTGCAGAGCAGACCACAGCTCAAGGGCATCTCTGTCCCCAGCCCCCTTCGCCAGCATGTCCATCTGGGGCTGAATGCGCTGCTGGGCATAGAATGCAACCCAGTCCTTCTGCCAATCATTCACCTGCACAAGCAACAGCACAGGAGAAAGCGGAGCTCAGAGGCACATGCCAGGCCTGAAGGAGGTACCCCAAAGTAGGAAGGACTGATTGCTAGAGACTCCTGCAGGGACGGGCGTGAGAGCTGATGGGACCCCTGGGCTTGTGGACAGGTGGGACCTTAGAGCCTATCCCAGGAGCAACCGGAAGCAAGGGGCCCTTCCGTGCAGAGCAACAGGGTCCCTCTGATGATCTCTGGGATGTTTCCTTTCTTTTTAAAAACTTATCTTTATTGTTGGAAGTATTATAAATGTCCCCGTTTTTTCCCCACTGATACCCTCCAGTCTGTTCCCGCCCCTGCCCAGGCCTTCACCACACTATTGTCTGTGTCCACGAGCTATGCTGTGTGTACATGCATACAAGTTCTTGGTTAATCTCTTCCTGCTTTGGGATGCTTTCTTTCGATCTATACTCACACAGGAGCACAGAGGCCAGAGCTGGCTGGCCTTCTCTGACCCTGTGGCTCACTTCTGTCCATCCACCTGGCCACAGAGGACCCCTCTTCGGCCCCTCCCAGGCAGCTGGCACTGCCCTCTCAAGAGTGGTAACATGGGAAGTCACGTGGAACCCTGTTCAAAAAGACTGCTGAGAGGACATCCAGGCCACAGGTGCTGACCATGGGGGTGGAGGTGGGAGAGACAAGACAGACATACACAGAGCAGGACAGCACAGGGGCAGTATGTGATGCCAAATGACAGAGTATCATGCTCACAAAGTGCACTCACTCACAACGCATACACATACTCTCACACGTGTGCACACACCTATACTCTCACACAAATGCACCCTGACACGTGCACATGTGCACACAACCAGCCAGCAAGTTACAGGTGGGAGAGAGAGGAGCAAAGCCAGCTGAGACACCCCCGAGCACATGGAACAGGAGGCACAGCTGTCAGCCACTTGCCACCCCATGCAGGCAGGTTCCTGGACAACCTCCAAAACATTTCAGAATCAGAGTAGTGTCTCTTGCACCCGTGCCCACCACAAAGTCCCCAAAAGTCTTCCACAGCAGGTCCCTTCCAAGGAGCCACTGCCTTTTGCTGAGAGCACACCCTCCATCCTAACCACTCTGCATTTGAAGGGCGTCAAGGAGAATTCCCGGGGAGCCAACCATAAAATCATAAAACTGAAAGTTACCATCCCTTTCATTATGCCACCTCTGAGAGCTTACTATTTAAAATAAAGCATTTAAAAGTTTTCCAACTTTTACCCACCTCGAAATCCAGCATTCTAACTTACTGGCCTTCTCTGTTTTTCTGAGCTTACACAGCCCAGGAAGGGGTAAAGCTCATGTCAACCTCTTAAAAATTAGCAAAAAAAGGAAGGGAGCAAAGACTTACTAAATTTCACTAAAGAGGGCGAGGGAGTGCTTCCCCAGTGGGGAGGAGGAGGAAAGGGCAGATATCACTCACCTGGGGGAGATATCCGCAGCACGTCACCACGTCAAACCCAAACTGGTCTATGAAGGGCCGTTCCGCCTGCCCACCTCCGCTCCCTTGGAAGCAAGAGAAAACAGGACAGCTAGCTGCCTTGCTCCCGCGGCCCCTTCATGGAGCTCAGCGTAGCTTGAGACCTGATGTCGGTGTGCCTTCTCCACCCCAGAGACACACAGGGCCCTGGTCTCCACCATCCTCAGGCCCGGAACCAAGCCTGTTGTGGCACACGTAACAGGCAGCCACCCACTGCTTCCCAGAGAGACACCAGATGGTACCGGGGGGCGCCCAGGACAGAATGCTCGCAGCGGCCATTTATGGCGGACAAACTGCGTTCACTGTGTCACCGCACCCCAAACATGCATCTTGGGGTTGACATTCCTTTTCTTTGGCATCACACAGGCCTGACCCTCACTCTATGGCTGTGGCATAACCCCACCCAGACACCCGTAAGAACCCAATATCCTCCTCCAGGTGGGGTCCCTCTTGGCCCACAGATGCCATACCCACTGTGTTGGCCTCCTTCTGCAGCTTCTCTCCAAGCCTCTTATTCTCCAGGTGCAGGTCTGCTAGCTGGGATCCAAGCTTGGCAGCATGACTGAAACCAAAAGGAAGCAACAGAAGTGTGACACACATGAGGAAACTTCGTCCACCTGAAAGGGCTTGGGCCACATAAGGGAAGTCCCACATTTTGAGGACATAAAGTCTGTTTTGGTGAAGCAAGAGGGAGCTGATGGGTCCTCATTAGTGGACGGTCTTTCCTGACCTCATCTGAGCTTGCAGCCATGTCCTCTGAGCATCTCACCTTGAGAGATTCCCTTCCAGTTGCTGTTGGCTTGCGGATACTCACTGTGTGTGGATGGTAGATTCCTTGTATCACATCCCACAAAATTATACCCAAGTGCAAGCTCCGGGTATGGAGGGACCAGTGCGAAGAAAACCGAAGCCACCCAGAGGGGAGGCGCCAAGACATACCTGCTCAGATACCGCATGTCCAAATGCTCCATCACCAGCACACTGCTGCCCCCTGGGGCATTCAGGACCTTGATGGGCCTGGGCACTTTCACTGTGTCTGTTTTCAGGATGGCAGTTAAACTGGCCATCTCACCTTCAAACATTCTTCTAGCCTGTCGGGAAAATTAATGGAGGGGAAGGAGAGCGAGCGAGATCACTTCTGGAAAGGCCCCAGGTAGACAGGTTTTCTCAGGCTACAATTCTAAGCCAGGGCTGCCCTGACTGCAGTCAATACAGACAGCTTTTGAGCTTTTCTGTAGGGCAGATTGTACGTCTGACGCTGCACAGGAGTAGACAGTACCTGGCAGCGTTGGTCTACATTGCTGTGCTATCACTGAGGCCAAACTCCCTCCCGATGGGGAGTGTCAGCTCCTAATACTCACTGAGTGCCAGGTGCAGTCACCCTCTGTAGTACCTCAAAAACAGTCCTGTCCTGTAGCAAACAGAGAACTACCCACTGGCCTTACCTAATTCTAACAAGAAACTGACTTGTTTTCCAGGGACAACAGGACAAAACTGCATGTCATGCTCCAGTATGCTCAGAGGAGAGAATTCTGACCTTCAGTAATACCCATCCACCACCATCACCGCCACCGAACCAAAGACCTGGGACTTGACTGGCACTTAGTCACTGGTCCACTGTCCAGGACCCAGTGCTGAGGCCTTCAGTTGAAACCTGCCCTGCAGCACTTCCCCAGGCTGGCCAGCCTTCCCTAACCCCTTAAGTTTCACCCAAACCCACAAAAGGGGAGACAGATGTGAGCCTTGTCTCACTGCCAGTTGAGTTTGCAATAAAGCCTTTTCTTTTACCAGAAGCCACTGTCATTGCATTGGCTTCTGTGCATGTCAGGCAGCAAGTTCTTGGTAACTGAGCCCAAAGGTGCAAGTGGCCTCTGGTCTGCACATGCCAGGCCCTGTGGTCATTTTTCATCCGAATGGACCACCAAGTTCTAGGACATCTCCTACGAGCCCTGGAAACTATCATCTTGAACACCTTTTCCACCCTAGTCCAAAAGTCCTGTTCCCCCTGGACTGCAGTGACCATCCTCCCTGGTCTCCCTGCTCACCCAACTGAAGTAAATGATTATGGAAGGCAAATCCCACCCTGGAACACTCCCTGAATTACCACCTCTGCCTATGTCCTGCACGTCCCACAGGCTCTGACCCTGCCCACTCCCATCCTCATCCAGGGCCCCTACCTGGGCTCCACCCCGTACACTGACATGCACACACACCCCTCGTGCTCCTTTACTTTCTTAGACTGCCTGCTTCCGCCAGCCTCGAAGCCTCCTCACTCCGCGGCACCTCTTCTTGGAACACTAACCCCGCCTTTTGCCAAGCCAGCTCCTTCCTCGTCACATGCTCATCCCGTCTACTGTTGATGGACAGATGGGCTTCCAATTGGGGCTATTACAGACAGTGCCACATGGACATTCTTCTACATGTTCTCATAGTTACTAATTCTGTGACCTTTGGCAAGTTACTTATGCTTTCTGTGCCTCAGTGTCCTCATCTGTAAAATGGGGTTAATAATAGTGCCAAGATCATGGGCTTGCTACCATGATTGAGTTAGCAGCTAGCACATAATCCATTTTAACCACTTTATAAATATTATATTACCATCAAGAGCTACAGCCGCTAAGGAGAAAGGAAAGAACAGTGTCTTGCCCTGACCAGGTAGGTAGCTCAGTTGGTTAAGAGTGTCATCTCTATATGCCAAGGTTGTGGGTTCAAACCCCTGGTCAGGGCACATACAAGAATCATTCAATAAATGTACAAGTGGAACAACAAATGGAAGTTTCTCTCAAATCAACAAAAATTAAAAAACAACTGTGTCTTAAGAAGAATTTTCAGAGCATTCTCTCTAGAAGATAAAGGGAGCCTGAACCCTGCTGTATATTGTCCTAGAGCGCTGGTTTTGAAGAGAAAGGGGATGGATTTTTAACGCAGGCAGAGGTGAAGGAGGATCTGTGAACACAAGGTCCCTCACAAACATTGGAGCCAGGCGAAAGGGCTGGGGCTACAAATGAGCCAATCACACAGTGTGCGGGGGACAGATAAGAATAATCAGGAGGGGCCCTAACCGGTGTGGCTCAGTGGATAGAGCGTCAGCCTGCAGACTGAAGGGTCCCAGGTTTGAATCCAGTCAAGGGCATGTACCTTGGTTGCGGGCACATCCCCAGTGGGGGGAGGGGTGCACAGAAGGCAGCTGATCGATGTTTCTCTTTCATCCCTCTCTCCCTCTCGGTAAAAAAATTTTTTAAAAAATAAATTTATTTATTTTTTTTTTAAGAATAATCAGGAGGTGAAACAAGCAGACAGGGGCAACTGCACAGGTGTGAGAAGGGTAACGGGAGAGCAACTAAGGTCTTTTCTGACAAGTCTGAAAGAGGGCATTTTCACCTCCTAAAAGGTAAAGCATTAAGAAAAAAATGCGTAAAAGACTTTTCTACGTGGAGACCTGACCCGGGTGATGGTGGCAGGAGGTGGGCCCGCCGGGTGGGACTGGCGCCCTCAGAGGCCCAGGGCCCCGGCCTTCCGCCCGGAGGTCGCCTGGTCTCTCTCAGGCCTCGGCGGGGGCTTCCAGACCCCAGAAGCGGGGAAATGGTGTTTGTGGCTAGGCCAGTGCGGCAGCACCTCCATCACTCCAGGGGACAGGAACGGCGAGCGCGGCCAGTCCAGGCGACCCCAGGACACCAGGCGGCTGCTGCCTGTGTCCTGTCCGCACCTGAACCTTGACAAATGCGCCTTCTCTCCACGCAGCGGCTCATCGGCCACGAAGCCACCCGCCCGCAGCACCTCGTCCACTCGGCACTGGGACGGGCGTGGGCCGCTCCTCAGCTCCTGGGGGTGAGGCGCCCACACAGGCCGAGCGGGCGGTGCCGCCCCACAAGCGCCAGGCACGGCCGCGCGGAAAAGCCGGTCACAAGCGCCCCCACTCTGAGGCCACGGCAGCGCCGCCCCGCCCGCCCAGCCTCTGCGGGCCCCGTCCCCGCCCCGCAGCCTCCGCCCGGGCCTCGGCCGGGCCCCGTCCCCGCCCCGCAGCCTCCGCCCAGCCCGCGGGCCCGGCCGGCGGACCGCGGACCCCGGCCCCGCCCCCTCGACCCCCGGCTCGCGGCGGCCCTGACCTCGGGCTGGGCGTTCACTTTCACAAACACGCGTCCTTTGTCCGTGTCGTAACTCTGGCCCTGGCTAATGCACCCGCCCCCTGAGTGGCCCGTGGCCTTGACGGAGCTGCAGCCCAACTCCCGCCTCAGCAGCTCCTCCATGTTCCCTGCGGGTTCGCCTCAGGCGGCGGGCTCGCCGGCGACGGCGCCGAAAGGCCTGGGGGCTAGGCGACGCGCCTACGTCACGTAGGAGCGGGGCCGAAGGAAGGCACAGGGATTGGATGAGAGGCAGGACTGTGTGGGCGGGGCCTGTATGACGCACAGGGATTGGATGAGAGCTAGGTGACGCCAAGGAGGCGGAGAAACCTGCGTGGAGGCGGGGCTATGCCGGGTGACTCCGGGTGGGGGCGGGGCCCTGGGGGCTCCGGTGGTCTCAGAATAAAGTCTGTCCCGGCCGGTGAGGTTCAGTGGTTAACCCCTGACCTATGAACCAGGAGGTCAGGGTTTGATTCCCGGTCAGTGCACAGGCCCGGGTTGCGGGCTCCATCCCCAGAAGGGGGCGTGCTGGAGGCAGCCTATCAGTGATTCTCTCTCACCATTGATGTTTCCATTTCTCTCTCCCTCTCCCTTCCTCAATGAAATAAAATATATATTAAAAAAAAAAAAAGTCCTCTTTGCTCCCTGTGTTAGTCGGGGTTCTCCAGAGAAACCAAACCACCTGGATGTGCATACATATGGAATGGTTTATTTAAAGGAACCGGCTCACACAACTGTGGAGGTGCGAGACAGAGTCCGAAGGCAGACCAGTCCTGCAGACCGATGTGCTCTCCTTCGGGGAGGTCAGTGTTGCTCTATGCTGTTACTGAGAGGCGAGGCCCGCCCACACAGGGAGGGTGATGGGCTTTACTCCCGAGCCCAGCTATGGGTGGCTGCTTTGTGGGGGTTTCCTTCCCGGCACCCAGCCAGCCTTACTGCACCCCACGTCAAACACCACACTGCCAGCCGGTAATCCAGTGGGTGGGCGTGGACCCATGGCCCCAGAGGTCCCCCTGTGACTCCGGGTCAGGGCACTGCCTGGGCTGCAGGCTCGATCTCCAGTAGGGGGCGCTCGGAGATAGTCCATCGATGCCTCTCCCATCGATGTTTCAATCTCTCCACCCCTCTCCCTTCCTCTCTCTAAATCACTAAAAACATATTTTTTAAAAGAGAGAGAGAGAGACCACATTAAGCTCAACATGCATTCCCAACCAAAGCCTCTCTCCTTCACCACGGAGTAGGATTTCCAGTTCCCCCAAACATCCAGTTTGAGTGGTGGAGGGTGCGGGCTCGGGCTGCTGGGACAAACCCGGCCAGAACCCCAGATCTGCCTTCCACCTCCTCCACGCGGCCGGGCCGGTGTGAACCGCCCAGAGGCCGGGCTGCTGTCTGAGGGGCTGAGAAGGGACGGTGCAGGCTGCCCGGAGGGCGGGGCGTGGGCCTGGGCGGAGCATCTGGGGGCGGGGCATGCGTGGGCCCGGGACCTAGGGTTGCACTGGGTGAAAGTCTGGCGCGAACCCACATTACGTGGATTTCCTGCGGCTGTGATACTAACACCAGTGAGGTTACAGTTTTGCTTAAAATAGTTTTTCTTTCTATATCGGAAGAACAACTGGCACCTTGGCTGAATTCTTAATGAGTCATCAGCAAATATACACCCAGTGTGAAAGTCTCATCAGCTGTCAGTTTCTATTATTTTCTGACAGCAGAGGAGAGAAATCAGGAGTTCATTGGTGTGTGCAAGTGCCTGGGGCTTGAGAGAAAATATGGTCAGTCCCTTTTTAGTTCTTAAGTCTATTTTTATGTAAGCACCAGAGAAAGAAACTTAGATGCCTTTCCATAGTCAAGTGGGAGACACATTTCATATTATGTAAAGAGATCCCTTGTATATCACCCAGAGATGGCAGCCATTTCTCTTCTCCCCCACCCCTTGGGTGCTCCAATGGTGCTCTAGGCCTGACATCCTATGTTGTGATGGAGTCCGGTGGTGCCGGTCAAAAATGGCAGGACAAAAATCTCTCTTCTCCCTCGATAAATTATCACAAGAACCTAAAACAAATGGGCAGTCACGGGGTACGCAGACAAAAAATAAAAACAGACATAGCAGGCCCAGTTGTTGCCATGTGTGTATGGGCAGCAGCATTGACGGCAGGCACCAGGACCCCATACCTGGGGACAGCAGCGGAGCATTCCGGGGTGGGCAGACCTCTGTTCCTGATGTGCTCCTTGGGTGAGGAAATCCAGTATGTCCTTCAGATCAGGTCCCCAGCAGGACTGAGCCCAGGTGTCTGTGGCAGTCTCCATAGTAATGAAAATATAAGTGGCTGCAGATGTCCCCAATCTATAGCAAGGTGTGTGTGAGCCCCGAAAAGACACAGGCCTCAGCGGGTGCTCTGACCTCACCCAACCACCCTCTCCTCCCTGGGCGCATGAGTGCTCCCCATCCCATCATCCTCCCACTTAAATATATTTATAAAAAATAAAAATAAAAAAGAATCCAGCCTGCATTTGTCCATGTTAAGCTAAGAAGTCCCTGGAGACATCACAGTGTTGACCAAATTCAACATGATGGAGCGTACTCAGACACAGGAAACAAAGCCAGGCCTTCCACACAGCCATAAGACCTTGCGATGATTTTAAGTCAATGTCTCTTCATGTTGCACATATTCCCCAATGTCTGCTCGATAGAATACCACAATTGCCATGGAGTCTACTTTCCTGCAGTCCTTTTAAATATATATATATATATATATATATATATATATATATATATATATATAATTTATTTTTTTCAAATATATTTTATTGATTTTGTACAGAGAGGAAGGGAGAGAGATAGAGAGCTAGAAACATCGATGAGAGAGAATCATCCATCAGCTGCCTCTTGCACACCCCCTACTGGGGATATGCCCGCAACCAAGATACATGCCCTTGACCGGAATCGAACCTGGGTCCCTTCAGTCCCCAAGCCGACGCTCTATCCATTCAGCCAAACCGGTTTCAGCTATTATTGATTTTTTTATAGAGAGGAAGGGAGAAGGATAGAGAGTTAGAAACACCAATGAGAGTAACATCAATCAGCTGCCTCCTGCTCGCCCCCCACTGGGGATGTGCCTGCCACCAAGGTACATGCCCTTGACAAGAATCGAACCTGGGACCCTTCAGCCTGCAGGCTGCCACTCTATCCACTGAGCCAAACCAGTTAGGGCTACTTTCCTGCAGTCTTGTGTAGACGTTGCTGCCACCCCAAAACCCTCAGGAATGTCTGCCATGGAGTACACCACCAGAGACGTGTTTTCAGTGATACCACCCTGTCCAGATTTTAACACGTGGTTCCCATTCAGGACAACTGCTCTGCTCCAGGCTTTATCCACACTTGGTACTGGGCATAGGGTGCAAGGTAATCCAGAGTTGTGTTGTGCAACCAGAATCTGTGGGTCTTAATGAATTTTCCAAAGCAAGTCCCCAGCGACACCAGCTTGTCACCAGAGATGTTGGTGGCCAACTTCTGGATCTTCTCACTCACGTGGTGCTGCCTGAAACAGCAGGCGCTGGGGGCCCTATCCACCAGCAGCTGAAGGCTCTCCTCCATGCTGTGGGCAAAAGGAGGACTGAAGGCCAAGTTGGAATGGACGGGTCCAGCCCCTCAAATAATTCTTTTTTTTTTTTTTTCCAAGTGATTCTTTAAAAAAATCAGCCCTAGCCAGTTTGACTCTGGATAGAGCTTAGGCCTGCGGACTGAAGGGTCCTGGGTTTGATTCCTGGTCAGGGCACATTACCCGTTACTCCCCAGTAGAGGGCGTGCAGGAGGCAGCCAATCAATGATTCTCACCATTGATGTTTCTACCTCTCTCTCCTCCCTTCCTCTCTGAAATCAATAAAAATATATACTATTTAAAAGTCAAATGTGCACTAACTGGTTTGGATCAGTGGTAGAGCATCGGTCTGTGGACTACAGGGTCTCAGGTTCGATTCCGGTCAAGGGCATGTAACTTGGTGGCAGGCACATCCCCAGAGGGGGCATGCAGGAGGCAGCTGATTGATGTTGCTCTCTCATTGATGTTTCTAATTCTCTATCCCTCTTCCTTCCTCTGTAAACAAAAACAAACAAACAAAAAAACACCATAAAAGTCAAATGGCCCTAGCCAGCTTGGCTTAGTAGAGCATCAACCTGCGGACTGAAGGGTCCCAGGTTCCATTCCAGCCAAGAGCACATGCCTGGGTTGCAGGCTTGATCCCCAGTAGGGGGTGTTCACGAGGTGATTCTTCTCTCATCATTGATGTTTCTGTCTCTCTCTCCTCCCTTCCTCTCTGAAATCAATAAAGAAATATTTTTTAAAATATATATATTTTATTGATTTTTTACAGAGAGGAAGAGAGAGGGATAGAGAGTTAGAAACATCAATGAGAGAGAATCATTGATCAGCTGCCTCTTGCACCACCCCTACTGGGGATGTGCCGGCAACATGCCCTTGACCGGAATCGAACCTGGGACCTTTTAGTCCCCAGGTCGACGCTCTATCCACTGAGCCAAACCGGTCTCGGCAATAAATATATATATATATATATATATATATTAAGTAAAATGATTCTTAGCGTATTTTGACCCAATAGGGAAAGAAAATGTGATGCTGCAGAAGAGAAAGTGGGTGGGCACTCGCACGAAGATTTTATTGAGACAAACGGCCACCTACCTGGTGAGCACTCCAGAGCTGAAGGCAGGCGCAGGCCTGAAGACCGTGGCTCCCTAGACGGGAGGGGGGCCCGGATCCGGAGTGTCCCCCGTCCTCTCTCCGGCACCTGCACAGACACGTGCACACGTACCCCGGTGCATGAGCACACACAGGTACGTGCACCAACGGGCTGTGAGTCGCTCTGGGACCAGGAAAAGGCCTGAGCAGCCGTCCCGGATAGGGACCCTGGCGCCCGGAGACTGGGCGCTGGCGCCGCGGCCTGGGGTCGGCGTACAGAATCGCCCCACCGCCCTGGTGCCGGCCCACGCGGCACAGCGAACGCCCGCCCCGCCTCCTGCTCATCCCGCCGCGCATTGGCTGACAGATCGGTGTCCCCGCCCCCTGTCACCTCTGGCTCCGCCCCACCCTGGCCCTGGACCCCCGTGGCCCCGCCTCCCGTCCACCATTGGCTGCTGCTGTTGTGGGCGTCGGCCTGGAGGCGGAGACCGTAGTCAGATGGACGGGCAAGGTAGCCAATGAGCGCGCGCAGCTACCTTAGCAACTGCGGCCAGCCAATGGCAGGGCGGGGCGGGGCCGCATACTGTCAGGCGGTGGCGGCACGGAGCCCCGCGTTCCGCCGGCTGCGGGTTTGCGCGGCGCCCGTGTGCCCGCCGCCTCCTCCGCGCCGTCCCGCGGGCCGGGCATGGGCGCGGGCGCGGCACCATGAGCGTCCTGGGGAGCCCGGTCCGCGCCTACGACTTTCTGCTCAAGTTCCTGCTGGTGGGCGACAGCGACGTGGGCAAGGGCGAGATCCTGGCGAGCCTGCAGGACGGCGCGGCCGAGTCCCCCTACGGCCACCCGGCGGGTGAGCGCGGGCGGGGGGCGGGGGGCGCAGGTGCACGACGGTGGGATCCCGGGGGGAAGCGCCGGGAGGGCAGCGGGGATCGGGCTGGGGATGGCGGAGGAGTTGGGCCAGGCCCGGGGGGAGCGCACCGGGGGTCGGGGAGGAGCGGAGCCGGGTGCGCGGAGCATAGGGCTCGGGGACCGGCCTGTCTCTGCCGGGATCGGGCCCACACTTCGCGGGCGGCTCCGGCGGCACCCCGTCCCGCACGTGGGGGACCCAGGCGGCTCGTGGGGAGCATCTTCCGTCCCCTCGCCGGGAGGGAGCGAGTGGCCGGGCAGGCCGAGGGAGGTCCTCGGCCTGGGTGACTGTGAGGCGGGGGAGCGCGTGGGGGTTGGAGGGCCCCCCCGCGGGGAGGCCCACGTGCGCGCAACGCGTTTGGAAAGATGCGTGGGGTGCGGAGGGAGCGGGCGGGCGCGTGGGATCCGGGGGAGCGGCTTAGCTCCCGGTGGCTGCTTTGCGCGCGGGTCGGAGGGAAGAGGAGCGAGAGGAGGCGCGGGAGGCCCAGTCTGGGGGCTCCTGCAGGCTCCCGGCGTGACCCGGGGCTCCTGCTCCAGGCGGACAGGCCGGGAGGGCAGGGACCTAAGCGACCTGGATGAGAGCGCGGTCTGGGGCGGAGAACGTGCGAGAGCGTGGGGTCCTGGTGGAGCGGAGGCCCGTGGCCCGGAGCTCCAGGAAGGGGTTTCCCGGCGGTCTGAGGGTTGACAGCCGCAACCCCAGGAGGGGGTGGGCCTTAGGAGGGAAGGAGGAAGGAGGAGAGGAAAGTGCGGGGGCAGAAAGCTGAGCCAGGAGACGGGGAGGCGGTCTGTGCCCTTCACCAGCCCCTGGGAGGAAGCCTGTGCGTGGCCGCCTCTGAGCGTCCTCTCAGGGCGTGAGCCACACCTGGGCCCCTGGGCACGGACCCTCACTCCTGTGCTCTGGGCTTGCAGTCGGGTTCTCGTTCTCCGGGGGCAGAAGGAGAGTTAGACACATCGATGAGAGAGAAACATCCATCAGCTGCCTCCTGCACATTCCCCACCGGGGATGCGCCTGCAACCAAGGTTCATGCCCTTGACCGGAATTGAACCCGGGACCCTTCAGTCCACAGGCCGACAATCTATCCACTGAGCCACACTGGCTACCGCGAGTCTTTTCCTTTTCAACGCGAAGATCTATTGGCTTTAATAAAAGGTCCATGAACTGGGCAGCATCCCATCTAGCCGCCAGCAGGGTGCCCCCAGGAGTGCCAGCCTGGTGCCTCCCACCTCTCCAGGAAGGATGGAACCGAGAAGACAGTGCAAAGGAGTGGTTTGCAAAGCGTGGGGGTGGGATGGGGGGAGGATTCACCAGGAGATAAACAGAATCTGAGGCGGGAAGAGGGGGAGCATTTGCCTCTGCTTCAGGACAGGGTGCAGGGCACCCCTGAAGGGTGGCTGTCGTGGGAGGACCCCGGGTGGGCTACATGGGGGTCGGGGAGGGAGAGAGGGGAAGCTGGGCCCTGGCCGCCTCGCTCGGTGGTTGAGCATTGACCATGAGCCTGATCTCAGTTTGATGCTCTGGTTGTGGGCTCGGTCTCCAGTGTGGGGTGTGATGGAGGCAGCCAGTCCATGATTCTCTCTCATCCTTGATGTTTCTATCTCTCTCTCCCGCTCCCTTCCTCTCAGAGATCAATAAAAATATATATATTTAAGCCGAAGCTGGTTTGGCTCAGTGGATAGAGCGTTGGCCTGTGGACTGAAAGTTCCCAGGTTCAATTTCGGTCAAGGGCACGTACCTTGGTTGCGGGCACATCCCTAGTAGGGGGTGTGCAGGAGGCAGCTGGTCCATGTTTCTCTCTCATCGACGTTTCTAACTCTCTATCCCTCTCAGTTCCTCTCTGTGTAAAATCAATAAAATATATTTTTTTTTTAAAAATATATATATATATATATTTAAAAGGAGTGGGTAGGAGGGAGCAAGGGAATACAGAACACGGGTTCATCTTAGGGAGAGTGGCCAGGAGGAGGGTGTGGAGATAGAGCCGAGAGTTTGAGACGATGGGCGTGAGCCGACGAGGAGAACCTGGACTCGCCCTCAGTTTGCAATGGACAGAGAACCACCTGGCGGTCCCATGCAGACTCCGGAAGATTCTAGAACAGTGTTGTCCAAGGTGACCCATTAGCTACACTGGGCTTTTTTTTTTTTTTTTAATATATTTTATTGATTTTGTACAGAGAGGAAGGGAGAGAGATAGAGAGTTAGAAACATCGATGAGAGAGAGTCATCGATTAGTTGCCTCTTGCACACCCCCTACTGGGGATATGCCCGCAACCAAGGTACATGCCCTTGACCGGAATCGAACCCGGGTCCTTCAGTCCCCAAGCCGACGCTCTATCCATTGAGCCAAACCGGTCTCGGCTACACTGGGCTTTTTAATTTTAGTAGTAGTTACATTTGAATTAGTCAAGCCCTGGCCGGTTTGGCTTGGTGGAGAGAGCATGTACCTAGGGATTATAGGGCCTCAGTGTTTGATTCCAGTCAAGGGCATGTACATTGGTTGCGGGCACATCCCCGGTGAGAGGCGTGCAGGAGGCAGCTGGTCGATGTTTCTCTCTCATCGATATTTCTAACTCTCTGTCCCTCTCCCTTCCTCTCTGTGAAAAATCAATAAAATATATTAAAATAAATAAATAAATAAAATGGAATGCAATCGGAAGTTTGCATTAGCCATGTTTCTGGTGCTCAGCAGTAGCAGACACAGGTGGCCGAGGTCTGAGTTCAAGCTCCAGGAGGGCTGAGGTGGTTTGCTCACAGCTGAGTCCTCAGAGCTCTGCTGGTGAATGGAGGAGCCACAGTGGAGAAGGAGTAACACCTTCAACAGCTGAGGCATGGCGCGCTTTTTTTTTTTTTATTAAAAATATATTTTATTTTATTGATTTTTTACAGAGAGGAAGAGAGAGGGATACAGAGTTAGAACATCCATGAGAGAGAATCATCGATCAGTTGCCTCTTGCACACCCCCTACTGGGGATGTCCACAACCAAGGTACATGCCCTTGACCAAAATCAAACCTGGGACCTTTCAGTCTGCAGACAGTTGCTCTAACCACTGAGCAAAACCGGTTTCGGCAAGGCAAGGCACTCTTAACAACTCTGTGTGTTTGAGGGACCGAGCGTGGGATGCTTTGAACTGTATGGTCGGTGATGATGTGGAGCAAACATGAGCTTCTGATCGGTCTGAACAAGGGCTTGACTGAGCTTCCTGTGCATTCCTTTCTCTTTGTCCCCTGGGGGGCCAACCCAGGACCTCTGAACCCAGTGCTTTCTTCCACAGTTTTTTCCTTGTCATCGATGTGCCTCTTGTGTTTTTGATTTCCTAAAAGATTCTTCTAAGATTCAGAAAAGAGATGATGAAAAATTGTGAAAAGTAGGAATCTTTTTTTTTTTAAGACAGGTTTTACCTCAAAACTATGGGTGCTTCTGACATTCAAAGGCATTTTCAGCTTCACAGCTCCCTTCCCCTCCGCCCACCCCACACCTGAGCTTTGCAGCCTGGGCTGTTGTTTCCACATTGCCCAGGTTTATAACACTCACGTGTGTTGTTGCTGCAATGACCATGACTGCTTGGTAATAGCTCACCAGGACTCAGTGCTCACCACCGGTCCTGCTTCCACTCTGTCAGTGAGTTCTTTCCTTTGCTCTCCCCCTAATTAGCTGGGTTTCTTTTTCTGCCATTTTCCAGGGACGGCTCATGACTATTTCCTGAACATTTTCACATTTGAGAATGTCTAGTCCGTTGTCCTTATCTTTGAAGGATAGCTTGGCTGGGTATAATATTCTTAGGTTGTTTCTTTTCCCCTCAACTCTTCGTGACTATTGTCCCACTACCTCCTTGGCATTGGATGTGCTAAGGTGAAGCCTGATTTTTTTTTTCCCCAGGTGGGCAATTTGCCTTTTCCCCCTGAATTTCTGAACAAGTGGTCATCTGAAGGAGCAACACAACAGAATAGCACACATATCAAATCACATGTATATCAACATATGTGTAACTCCATCCATTAAAAAAAAAAACCTGAGTTATTAACCGGTACATCTAGTATTAGTTTCTTTTGCTGCTGAGCAACTTCTCACCCACTTAGTGGCTTAAAACAACATAATTTTACTATCTTACAATCCTCAGGGTCAGGAATCAACACAGCCTCGCTGGGCTGACATCCAGGTGTGGGCAGCGCTGGGGGTGTCTGATTCTTGCCTTTTCCAGCTTCTGGAATCAGGCACCATTCCTCGTCTTACGGCCCCTTCTTCCTCCAAAGCCAGCGATGGCTGGTTGAGTCTCTCACTTCCCATCACTCTGACACTGACTCTGCCTCCATCTTCAGTTTTTAAAACTAAATACTACAACCTCTTGCCTCCCAATTTTTCCCCCCCTAGCATGAGACTCTGTTTCCTCTCACCGCTTTCTCCTGGCTATTTCTTCAGCTTCTGTTCCCAGCAGGAAAATCCCATCTTCCTTTTTCAGTTTCTATAATAATACCTCCTCCTTATCGGCATTGTAGAAGCATCATCTTCTGAGACAGGTTACATTCGTAGGCCCAGAGAGGGTGAGTAACTCCCTCAAGATCACACAGCATATGTGTAAGAGCTGAGCAGGACAGGGTGGCTGGCTCTGGGCCGTACTTCTGATCACACCCCCGGGGCCCCTCTGGTTCAGAAGAGGCTCAGAGAGGTGGATTCCCCCCGAGGAGCACAGAAACGTCTCTCCTGAAAATGACCTCGGTTTCAGGTTCTTGTCCTTTCTCTCTGCCTCTGACAAGCCTCCACCGGGAGCGCAGGCACCCTCCCCCTGCCTCTGTGGGGCTGCAGACAACGGTGCATTTGCCAGTTTTATGGCTATGCTGCCAGTTTCCCTTGGCAACCACTTGAAGATTTAAAGCACGGTTTTTTCAAGTCCTCACTTCAAGTTTGGCCTGAGAGTTGCATCATGTCGTACCCTTTTCTTTGCGGTGTAATTCCTTAAAGAAGAGGCGGTAGATGGCCTTCCACTCTCTACCCACGGCAGGGCCATGTGTGCACACAGAGTCCATTTGTTTAGTGCATTGGTTTTTTTTTTTAATATATTTTATTCATTTTTTACAGAGAGGAAGGGAGAGAGATGAGAGTTAGAAACGGTGATGAGAGAGAAACATCGACCAGCTGCCTCTTGCACACCCCCTACTGGAGATGTGCCCGCAACCCAGGTACATGCCCTTGTCCGGAATCGAACATGGGAACTTTCAGTCCGCAGGTCGACGCTCTACCACTGAGCCAAACCGGTTTTGGCTAGTGCATTGGGTTTTTAAAAGTTAAGTCATACATTCGTCTATATATTGGAAAATAATAATACTGCGCTGCTGTCAGCTTTTCTCTTTAGACGCCTTTCGTGTTTCTCTTTAAAAGTCTCTGTCCTGTGAGGCCGTCTCCCTGCAGGTGACACCCCTTTCGTCTGCCCCCTGATCCCTGCAGTCCCATCAGGATGAACCGTATTCGGGCGCTGGGCAGGGGGCGGCTCAGAGCTGGCAGCCCAGGTTCCTCCCGGACGCGGTCAGCTCCTGGGCTGGGCGTCCACCCACCATGCTCGGTGTCCTGTTGCTGGCACTCAGCACCGCGGTGGCTGCAGAGTGGACATGGCTGAGCAGGCACCGCCAGGTGGTTCTACCGTCTACACCTGTAGAGAGAAGCAGCAGGGGCCTATCACCCACAGCACATGCGGCCACTTCACTGTTTTTTCACAGAGAAGGAAGAGGGAGTTAGAAACATCGATGAGAGAGAAGCATCAATCAGCTGCCTCCTGCATACCCCCCACGGGGATGTGCCTGCAACCAAAGTACATGCCCTTGACCAGAATCGAACCTGGGACCCTTGGGTCCGCAGGCCGACGCTCTATTTACTGAGCCAAACCGGTTAACATCCTCCCCAGGCTTCTTCAGCTTTACTGGTTACAAAGAATGAATCGTGTAGAAGCAAAAGCTGGGAAGAGCCGCCATGCTCGATGGCCTGTGGCACACTGGCTGAGCATTGCCCTATGAATAAGGAGATCATGGTTCAATCCGCGGTTCAGGGCACATGTCCTGGTGGCAGGTTTGATCCCTGGTAGGGCGTGCGAAAATCGGGACTGTTTTAAAACACAGTGGGACGCGGGACAAATGGTTAAACATTGGGACTGTCCTGCCAAAGGGACGTTTGGTCACCTTTTTCTAGATCTTCCCACGGATGCCCTGGTTTCCGGCCTGGGACCCTGCGGAGGGTCATCTTGTGGGAGACGCCCCTTCGCTGCGGGTGGAGAGCCACGCAGGCCTGACCCCGGCTCCTCGCCGGCTCCCCCTCCGGCTGATAATTAACAGGTCCCCGCCCCCGGCGTGACTCAGCCGAGGCTGCTCAGGAGTTTGAATCACTCGGTGACTCGTGACAGGACTGGCATTTTGTTTGATTAAAAATAAAAGCAAGAGCTAGTTCACAGAGGCCTCGTCGTAAACGCAGCCAGGCCACGAGGAGACAAGGCACCAGGTCCCCGGCTTTGCTGTCTCTCAGAAAGACCAGGAGGAGAAGCAAGCAGGGAACACGCTTCCCTTCTCAAAGGAGACGCAGAGGCTGGCAGAGCAGGTGCTGCTCCGAGTGGGTCCCCTGTGGTGGACGCATCAAATCCCCCTCCGTAGGCACTGGGCCTGGCTGAAGCTCCCAGCCTATCCCGGGCCCGTCCTCCAGCCCTCCCCCTCCTCAGCCCTCCCCCTCCTCAGCCCTCCCCCTCCTCCAGCCCTCGCCCTCCTCCAGCCCTCCCCCTCCTCCAGCCCTCGCCCTCCTCCAGCCCTCCCCTCCTCCAGCCCTCGCCCTCCTCCAGCCCTCCCCCTCCTCCAGCCCTCCCCTCCTCCAGCCCTCCCCCTCCTCCCACCCCTGCACCCATGTGCCCTTCCCATCCCCAAGGCAGGCAGAATCAGTTTCGGGGCAGGACATATGTACATACATTTTTAAATATATATATTTTATTGATTTTTTACAGAGAGGAAGGGAGAGGGATAGAGAGTTAGAAACATCGATCAGCTGCCTCCTGCACACCCCCCAAAACCAAGGTACATGCCCTTCACCGGAATCGAACCCGGGACCCTTCAGTCCACAGGCCAACGCTCTATCCACTGAGCCAAACCAGTTTCGGCTACATGCATATTTTTGAGGTCAAATTTACAGGATAGGAAAGGAACCATTTTAAAGGGAACAATTCAGTGGCGGCTAGTACATTCAGTCTCGATGAATCAATCCCCACTCTCTAATTCCAGAACATTCCCCTCGTCCCATCCCCGGGAACTGCCAGTCTTCCATCGGATATTTCAGTTCAGCATCAGATACGTTCAGCCTGACCCATGTGGCTCTGGGTTGAGCGTCAACCTATGTCCCGAGAGGTCACCAGTTCAAGTCCTGGTTGGAGCGTGCAGGAGGCAGCCCATCTGTGTTCCTCTCACCTATGTTTCAATCTCTCTCTCTCTCCTTCTCTCTCTCTAAAGCCAATGGAAACATTTAAATTAAAAAAAAAAATACATTTCTCAAAGACAAATATGTAAGCGGCGTTTAACCCGTATTCACACCATGATCAAACCCCCTCAGTGACGGTGGCCGTGGCCGCTGCCTCGCTGAAATAGAAGCAGCAGGTGGTGGAGGAGTCAAATAGATTCCTAATTTATTTATCCTTCCTGCAGGGCTAAAAGCGTGCTGACCCGCTGGGCATTTGAGGTTTCCTTCTTTTATTTTTTATTTTTTTTAAAGAAGGCTAAAAATGTATCTCTCCTTGTCCCTTACTCTCACTCCAGCCTTCTGACAGGCTTTGTTCTGGAAGCTTTTGTGTATTTTTATTTCTGATGGACAGAGTTCCTGGTGAATGAGTTGAGGACCGAGATGTTGAGTTACACTTTCTGATCCTGGAATACAAGCTTGTAGTTTGCAAATTTGGAGACAGAAAGCAAGAGAAATAGCGGGAGGCTTAGAATGCGGGGGTGGGGTGCACACGGGGGTGGGTGCACACGGGCGGGTGCAGACAGGGGAGCGGGGCTGGGGCCTGCTGTCTCCGGTGCTGAGTCTCCGCATTCACAGTCTGAAGCTACTGAGCTAGACTTCCTGCAAAATCCATGCTCAGCCCCAACAGCCCGGGTGCCGTGCCCCGGAATGGGGGGCTGAATCTGTTGTCACCCCCACAAGGCACGTCTCTTACCCTCAGCCTGCTTTACAGACAGGAGACGTTAGCCTGGCTGGTGTGGCTCATTGGTTGAGCATCACCGGTACTCTGGAGGGCGGCTTCAGGTCAAGGGCACAGACCTGGGGAGATAGCCAATCGATTTCTCCTCCTCTCTTTTCTCTCTCTCTCTCTCTCTCTCTCTCTCTCTCTCTCTCTCTCTCTCTCTCTCTCTCTTCCCACTCTCTCTCCTTCCCCTCCTCCCCCTCCCATCCACTCTAAAATCAGTGGGAAAATACTAGGGTGAGGATTAACAACAACCAAAAAGACAGACTTTATAAACGGGATATTCTTTTCTCGTGGCTCTTTGGGTGGGGGAGGGGGTAGTCTAACATTCTAGATCTTTCCAGGGAGCACAGGGCAAGCCCTTGAAGATGACCCCGTCTTTGCTGTTTCATTTTGGAGGAGCCTCGCACCCACGCAGGATCCCTCCAGGGCCCGGCCCGCCCTCTCCCTCTCTGGCTGCTCCCCAGGCACTTGCCCCCAGCGTGCGAGGCTAACGCAGTGGCTTTACTTGCGCAAATGTTCAAAGTGGGATCTTCACTGCCGCTCCTCCCGGTGGGAGTGCTCTGGAGCCGGTGCCGAGCCCATGGGAGGCCAGGCCAGCACCACACGCCTCTGCCCTCTGTGCTCGCTAAGCCACCGGGTCCTGATTCGGGGAAAGGCTCTCCTTTCTTCCCTCCCCTTGTCGCCCACCTGTGCCTGTTCTCATGTTCTCTTCCTCAAACTCGGGGACTCCTCTGTGCGCACAGGCAGGGTTCTCAGAGGCAGGGACTTGGCTTTGGCTGATGGGGAGGAATAGTTCTTGGAAATGATTATTGTTTTTTCTTCTTCTTCTTCTACTTCTTCTTCTTCTTCTTCTTCTTCTTCTTCTTCTTCTTCTTCTTCTTCTTCTTCTTCTCCTTCTTCTTCTTCTTCTTCTCCTTCTTCCTCTTGTCTTAGAAGAAATACATACTCATTGAAGAAAACTTGGAAACAGAGAAAGCCCTTTTTTAAGTAAAAACTATCCAGATTCTGCCACCCGGAGACTCCGTGCACGTGCACACACGTGGTCTTGCAGAGCTGCGGTGTTTTCCCACCTGATTTCACATTCTCCATAACGAGACATCCTTCGTGTGATAATCGGAGGGAACCATCTCTGTGTAGCCCCATGTGTGAGAGGAGGAGGGCGGATGGGAGGGGGGGTTTGTGGGGGAGAGGGCCGAGCCGCCCGGGGAGACCCACAGCAGGGTCCAGCCCCCTGGCCTGAGCGCAGTGCCTCTGCAGGGAGAGGGGGTGAGTGAGAGTCCTGCCTCTCCCGCATGAGAGTGGGTGCCCGTGCGCCTGTGGAGGAGGATGACTGGGGGGGCCCTGCAGCCGCTCCCCCTTACGCCGTCCACCCTCCTCCACAGGCATCGACTACAAGACCACCACCATCCTGCTGGACGGCCGGCGGGTGAAGCTGCAGCTCTGGTGAGTGTGGCGTCCGCCTGGCCCTGAGCAGGCCCGGCTTCCGAGCTCAGCCTGCACCTGGGGAGATCCTCTCCCCGCCCGCCTGGCCCACTGGCCCGGGGCTCCCCAAAGGAGGGGCTGGCCCTGGGCCCTGTGGGCCCTGCTGTCGGCCAGGAATCTGTGGCCCCAACTTCCTGGGGCTCAGAGGCAGAGTAGCAGTGGCTCCAAGCTTTCTTCTGAATGTCCACTCCCCTCGGCGCTATCTGAACAGGCTCTCGGCTCCCAGTCCCATTTCTGGGTTAGATGGTCCCTCCACGTCCCATCCCCCGCCCCCACGGGGGAGCCCCACCCTGGCGGGGCACCAGAGGCCAGGTGAACTGTCCACACATTCTGGCCGAGGCGGGAACTGTGCTGGTCCTGCAGGCCCCAGGGCAGAGCTGGGCGCGGTCCCTCAGGGTGGCTCTCCTCGCCACAGACCTTCCAGCAGCCCCGCCTGTGGGCCAGGCCCGAGCACTGAGGCTCTGCCGGGCTGCTGGGTGGTTCTGAGGGGCCTTGGAGCCAGCCCTGCTCGGAGTCTGGGGAAGGTCACCGGGGTCCGGCTTTACGTGATTGACTCAGCGTCAGCAGAAGCCAAGGGATCCCGCCAAAACCTTCGGACCCCCCCCCCCCCGACCCCCATGAGATTCACATCCCTCACACACAGCTTTGTCTCCAGATTCCACATTTTGGAGCTGACACTGGATTTACTTAAATGTCAGAATTAGGGCGTTGAAACCTGTCACTAATTTTTCTAGTTTGGCTTACAGAATGACCGCCAGAAAAGAGCATAAGCCCAGGACAGTCCGGTGTCCGGTCCCCCCAGGGGGGTCTCGGACTGTCCACGGCTGGGCCACCGGCCGAGGAGGGTCCCACGTGGGGTGCCCGGGGTCAGGAAGAAGCGGCAGTGTCTCACCCGTCCCCACCACCTTCTCCTTCCAGGGACACGTCCGGGCAGGGGAGATTCTGCACCATTTTCCGCTCCTACTCGCGGGGCGCACAGGTACCCCGAGCGGGAGGTCGCACTGACATGTGGGATGCTCGTTCCTGGACGCCTGGGCTCCGTGTGTAAACCGAGGCCCGAGCCTCCCCACGGGCTGTGGAGGGTGTGGTGGCTCAGAGCCTTTGTTGGCGCCGGGGCTGTCCCTGTCCGTGTGCCTGTGCTCAGTGTTCTATGCACGTACGTGTTCATGCACACGGGCGAGGCTGTCTATACATGCACAGGCGTGTTCATGTTGCACACCTGTGTTTGCACACAGGAGTGTGTGCACATGTGTGTCTGTACGTGTGCAGACCTGTGTTGGTATAAATTTCCCTGTGTTAATGGCCCTGCGTGTGTCTGTGTGTGTGCACCCGGGCACCCCGGTGGGTGGGCTCCGCTCCTCCTGAGCCGGGGAGCCCGGCTCCCCACGCCTATGTCCCTGGAGCAGCTTCTGGACGTGGGCATCGAGTTCTAGTCCCAGCCCACCTGGATGTTGGAGGCTCAGCAATGAGCCTGGGAAATAGTGGGATAATCCCGTAATTGCTACATCCGATGGGTAAATCCGAACAGCTGCATTAGAACGAGCTCGCCAGCGGCAGGCTGGTGTGGGTCGTTTCTGTGTGGCCCTCGTGGCTGCGCAGCCGGAGCTGTGCCCGCGGTGAGGTCACCGGTGCCTCTCCCCAGGGGGTGATCCTGGTCTACGACATCGCAAACCGCTGGTCCTTCGACGGCATCAACCGCTGGATTAAGGAGATCGATGAGGTGTGCCCCGGAGCGGCCCCCCTCCCTGTGGGCGCGGGGTGGGGGAGGCCGGGCGTGTGGGCCAGGGCACCGGGCTTCAGCCCCAGGGGGCAGGGTCACCTCCCAGCACAGGACCTGCCCTGAGGCGAGAACCCGCAAGCCCAAGCATCCGGGCCCTGCATGTGGTCAGGTGTCATGGGGGCCCTGCCATGGTCTGGTGAGGTCACAGGGTGCCCTGCCATAGACGTGGGGCATTGAGTTCTAGTCCCAGCCCACCTGGATGTTGGAGGCTCAGCAATGGTCTCATGGGGTTACAGGTGACCTGCTGTGGTCTCATGGGGTCACGGGCAGTGCCCGGCTGCTGCCTGCTGGCACCCTGACCAGCCCCACTGCCCAGGGGACATGGCGTGGCGAAGACCACACCCACCATCTTAGTTTCCTGCTGCTGCTCTAACACATGACCTTCAACCAGGTGGCTTAAAGCTACACACTTATTTTCTCACGTTTGGAAGCCAGAAGTCCAAGATGAAGGCGTGGGCAGGGCAGCGCTCCCTCCTAACGTCCTGAGGAGGCTTCTCCCTGTCCTTCCGCCCTCCCTGTCCCTCCGCTCCTCCCTGTCCCTCCACTCCCCCCTGTCCCTCCGCTCCCTCCCCCCCCCACCCCCCCACCCCCGTCCCTCCGCTTCCCCCTGTCCCTCCCCTCCTCCCTGTCCTTCCGCTGCTATGGCTGCGGCAGCCCTGGGTGCTCCTGGGCCTGGAGCTGCTTCCCAGTCTCCATCCGTGGTCACCGCCTCCTCCCTGTGTCCTCCATTAGGACCCAGTGATTGGGTGTAGGCTCACCCCACTGACCTCATCTCAACCAATCACATTCTCACAGACCCCATTTCCAAACACGGCACGTTCTGCGGTTCTGGGTCTGCATAAACTCGGGGGCATGCCATCTGGTACCCCGTACACCTACGGTGCCCACAGCACCCCTCACACGTGTAACCACTTCCCTCGCCTTCCTTTCGCCCGTCAGCACGCTCCCGGGGTCCCCAAGATCCTGGTGGGGAACCGCCTGCACCTGGCCTTCAAGCGGCAGGTGCCCACGGAGCAGGCCCAGGCCTACGCCGAGCGCCTGGGCGTCACCTTCTTCGAGGTCAGCCCGCTGTGCAACTTCAACATCACCGAGTCCTTCACGGAGCTGGCCAGGATCGTGCTGCTGCGGCACGGCATGGACCGGCTCTGGCGGCCGAGCAAGGGTAGGCGCTGAGCTGCCCCGAGGCCGCCACCTCCGTTCCCAGGGCTTCACTGTGCTGACGTGGAGAGAGGTCACGGCCCCGGCTCGGTCTGGCCGCCCCGGAGGCTGCTGAGAGCCGTCCGTGGGCGCAGGTGGACCATTTATCACGAGGTGGTCGCCCGCGGCCACGCTGAGCGGGGCTTGTGTCTGAGCAGGACCCCCAGCCTGTGAGGAGGGACCCCCTGGGGCAGTACTGAGGCTTCCACACGACCTTCAACCTTCCTGCGGATGGCTTTGGGAAGAGCTCATCACATTAGAAATAATGCCCTTTCCACTTTGTTTATAAAGAGAGAAACTTGAGAAATAGAAGTTCGCAGGGTCTTTAAAAAAAAAATAAAAAAATATATATATATATATATCAGAAAGGAAGGAAGAGAGAGATAGAAACATCCATGATGAGAGGGGATCACTGATCGACTGCCTCCTGCACGCCCCCCACTGGGATCGAGCCCACAACCTGGGCCTGGGCCCTGACCGGGAAAATCTAACCGTGACCTCCTGGTTCATAGGTTGATGCTCAACCCCTGAGCCCCACGCCGGCCGGGCAGGGGTCTTTTTAAGAGTGTAACCGGCAGTGAACACATATTACAATTCCTGAGGAGACCTCTTGGGACACCCTCCCTTCCCCCCACCTCTCAGACCTGAAAGAGAGATGGTGGCCTCTCGGGTTTTGGGGGACAAACTGAGTTTAGGGTGCCGAAAGCAGGTGGCTTTCCCGTGGGTGCGTGGGGAGCGCGTCAGCCCCGGCTCTCCTGGTCCACCCGCCCCGGGTCCTGGGGAAGGCGGTGGGAAGGTGGGCTGGCTGCCCCGAGGTCGGTGGCAGGGACCGTCTGAGCTGGGCTTCTCTTCTCTCCCAAGTGCTGAGCCTGCAGGACCTGTGCTGCCGGGCGGTGGTGTCCTGCACGCCCGTGCACCTGGTGGACAAGCTCCCGCTCCCCCTGGCCCTGAGGAGCCACCTCAAGTCCTTCTCCATGGCCAACGGCCTCAACGCCAGGGTGATGCACGGCCTCTCCTACTCGGTCACGGCGGGCGCGCTGCACAAGCGGAGCGGCCTGCGCAAGGGCAAGGCCACGGCCACGCGGCTGCCCCAGAGCCCGCCCCAGCGCTGTGCCCGCAGCAGCTGCAAGGTCTCCTAGGAGGCGGGACGGGCACCCACCGCAGACTCCGGGGCTCCGCCGCCCTCGCTCCGGGCAACGGGCACTCACGCCACGGCTCGATGTTGTTTCCACGTGGATGTGCATGAAGCTCTTGTGTTAGACGTGTGTTCATAAAGGGGAGAGTGGAACTCTGCCTGCCTCTCAATACCGCGGCTCGAACGTCATTCCCATGGACGGCGGTCTCGGCGGAGTGGGACGGCGTGGGCTGTGGGGAAGGGGCCCTGACGGCGGCGCCGGGGAACGGGAGCCCACGCGTGGAGAGAGGCCTTTTTGTAAACTCCTTTTTAACTAATTTATAAACGCTGCGGACGCACCCGGCATACCAGAAAGCAGATCCGTCCCGCTTCTGTACAAAACGGGTTTGATAAAGTTTTTGCTATGTTCTTTACGATGTTTCGGGATTAATAAGTGATTTATATGCATATCTTCTGTCCATCTATTTTTTTTTTTTTTGTATGAACGTTCCACACATTATGAAGCAGAGAAAAGAAAATGCGAAGATCCCTCTGGTGTCGAGCCCAGAGCGGCTACCGCAGAGTGGCGTGGGCAAGGCGCCCGCCGGCGAGCGTCTCGGCGGGAAAAGGTGGGCGTGGGAGGCATGGGAGGGGACGGGGGCAGGTTTGCCTGCTCTCGGCAGCCTCATCACCAGGTCTGGCTGTATTCACAGCCCTTTACTTCTTGCTTCATCACCTGGTGCAGGTGCCAGTTCACGGTGTCCAAGCAGGTATGGGGCGTTGGCAAGCTGCTGAAAAGATCCCTTTTCCCAAAAAGAAAGGTGGAGGCAGGAAGAGGGGAGCGCCCTCGGCCTCTGAACAATGTGGGCTCAGGGCGCCGGCTCCCACGCAGGTGGAACCCCCGGTAACCACGCGAGCCCTCGGCGTGGCGCCAACCCTCCAACAACCCGCGTGACCTCCCCAGGCGGTTGGACGCGGCCCGTGATCGGGCAGTTCCGGCCCACCTTCCTCCAGGGCCGCGTGGGACTGAGGGCGCCGGCTGGGAAGAGGCAGAGAGACGCCCTCCGGTCACGGCGGCTTGAAGAACGGGGCCGGCCGCCTTTGCAGAGACCTGTCGGGTGTCTCCTTCCTGACAGTCCCTGTGAGCTGTGCCCGTGAGGCAGCGGGCGGTCCGAGGAAGGATTAAAAAAGTGACATGAGTTGAGGTGTCCTCTGTTTCTGTAAGTGGTGGACAGGTTTTTAGAAGTTTGAGGAGCCCAAGAGCCGGGAGCAACCTTTGTTCAGAGATGGGGAAACCAAGGCCCAGGGAGGAGAAATGAGAGGGCTCGGGAGGCCGGGACAATGTTCACAGGGGAGCGGGCAGCGGGCAGCAGCAGGCCAGCCCTGAGGGAGCCGCTGGCCTGGGGGGACACGCTGTGGGCAGTGGATGGAGGCAGGGAAGGGCTGGCACGCTGGCCGGGAAGAAGGTGGGGCCTCTCTCCACTTCGTTTGCAACGAGGAGGGGCCAGGAGGGGTCCCACCAGAGTGAAAACCCCTTTCCTCCCCTTTGAAGAACATACTTCTCAGGACCCCGCAGGAGAGCGAAGGCGCGGCCCACGGATGGTGGCGGCTACTGGGCATGGGTCCCCAGGCCCTGAGGTTAACGGGGACAAACAGCGTTCTTCCCCTTCCCTTTCCTTATTGCTTTCCGATGGAAGGCCGCCTCAGGATGACACGTGTGTCCTAGAGGGTCTATGACAGGTTCCCGTGGCCTCTGTGACGGGAGCTCTCTCACAGCACACGCTCCAAGGCCTCAACCCTCTGCAGACCGGCTCCAGGTGGCCGCCAGGAGCTGGAGGAGGCAGGACCTCCATTCCCCCATCCCCACCCAGAGAGAGCCAGGCCCTGCCGGCACCTGGATTTCAGGGCCTTGCGCTCCGACCTTGTCGTTTGTCCTGCCCTCCCAGGGCCCTCGCTGCTGGCGACACCCACCCCGACTGCGAACACGCACGGAGCTCCGCCCGGACGCTGTGAACTGACTGCGGGGAAAGCCAGCGACAGGCTTGGTCATGTTTGTTTTGCCAAAAAGAGGGAGGCAGAGATGCTTCCATTTGCTGGAGGACGGCTTCGTCAGAGTGAATGTGAGGGACCAAAGCTGTGTGTGTTGGGGGGAACCGGGCAGAGGGGCCTCAGCCCCTTCCAGGCAAGGATGGTGGTGGGTCCCTGGGTCACCTTCACAGCGCGCATGTTCTTGGCACTTCCCTGCCCCCGGGGAATCATTGGTCTGCTGCCTCCTGCACGCCCCCTACTGGAGATCGAGCCCACTGCCTGGGCATGTGCCCTTGACCAGAATTGAACCAGGGATCCTTCACTCGGCAGGCAAATGCTCTAGCCGCTGAGCCACACCAGCCAGGGCGGGGTGTTGACGGAACAGGCCAAGCAAAGTCTCAGGATGGACAGCGGTGGTGCAGGATGCTCGGCGGTGCAGGAGGCAGGGGGTCCCTCCGGCAGCTTCTCTGTGCAGCAGGCAGGTGCCTGACACTGTTCCCTGCCCAGGTCAGGGCCAAGCGCCCCCTGCAGCAGAGGCCAAGCAGTGTCCTGGGCTGGCCCTGCCTCCCTCCTCACTTCCAACCCTCCTTCCCACCAGCCTAACCTCAGGTGGGGGTCTGGATCCATGTGTTCCTGCTTTGATGGTCTGTTCCTTTTTGCTTTATTTTAATTTTTAATTTTTATTGATGTCAAAGAGGAAGGGAGAGGTAGAGAGAGGTGAAAACGTCAATGAGAGAGGATCATGATTGGCTGCCTCCTGCACGCCCCACACGGGGGCTCGAGCCCACAACCAGGGCATATGGCCTGACTGGGAGTTGAACCGTGACCTCCCAGTTCATAGGTTGATGCTCAACCACTGAGCCACACCAGCCGGCTTTGTGTGCCTTCTTTCTCCCGATCTTTGAGTTCTCACACATTTAGTTCTCTAAATGGCTGGTCAAAGTTTTGGCTTTTAATCCTGCTGCCCTCCCCTGCCTCCGTGTGGAACTCAAGGGCAGGCTACCACTCCTTTCTCTCTCCCTTCACGGCCATGACCCAGGCGGCCTGGGCAGGGAGGCCTCCGTGTCCCAGCGGATGGAAAGACCGAGGCACAAAGGAAGCGCTCCGAAGCCCCCTGCCCCAGAGCAGCTGCTGTGGCTCCAGCCCCAGGCCTCCTGGCCCAGGGCCACAGGCAGGACCTCCAGGAAGGCTGGCTCACTGCAGCAGGGAGAGCCCATCTTCATGAACCCAGCGGGGCGACATCTCCGGAGGGGTGTTGGGAAGGGCGGTCTGAGGTGTCTGGGGAGTGTGCTGCGTGGGAGGAGTGTGCTGGCTTCTCACCCCCCTGGCCTTGCACACACTATCTTTCATCCTGTTTTCCTATTAACTCCTTAAGAACCCCATCCTGCTAGCCCCCAGGAGTGTCCCACAGGATTCCGAGTAGCGTTTCTTCCTGTGGCCTGCACCAGTAGGTGGTGTTTTTCTTACAAAAATAAATTAGTGCTTGAATATGGAAACATAATGCTTGTGCCAACATCCCGACTCAAACCCTGGAGTGCCCCCCAGCGGTGAGAACGGGCCCTGCTCCTAGGACAGGGGTCAGGTGAGGACGTGACACTCCGCAGTCACTTTCGGGGGTTACCTGGGCGGGTTGTGATTTCTGGGGGATCTGGGCCTGCGCAGGGGGGCGAGGGGCACGGCTGCCGCTCGAGTCCCCTCCTCTCCCCTCCACTCTGGGTCCCTCCTCTCCCCTGCCCTCAGGGCTTCCTCTCACCTGGGTGTCGCCAGCAGCGAGGGCCCTGGGAGGGCAGGACAAACGACAAGGTCAGAGCGCAAGGCCCTGAAATCCAGGTGCCGGCAGGGCCTGGCTCTCTCTGGGTGGGGATGGGGGAATGGAGGTCCTGCCTCCTCCAGCTCCTGGCGGCCACCTGGAGCCGGTCACAGGCCACACCTGTCACAGGCCACGCCTCTCCCCTTAAACCCCGCCCATAAGACCCGCCCCTCAGCCCGCCCTCCCCGACAGGTGGCCCCGCCCCGCGCACGTGACGCTCTCGGCGCTCCCTCCCCGGCCCGCCTGGATGGATGCGATCGGCGCTCCTCAGCTTACTGGCTGGGCGCGCGCGCGCACGCACGTACACACGCACGCACGCAGTACGTCCGCGGTTCGCTTCCAGCCCCGGCGGCCTCGGTGGCGGCCCGACGGGACCCAGTGCCCGGCCTCCTCGAGCGGAATGCGGCGCTGACGGGCGGCGGACCCTCCGCGGCGGCGCCATGAACCTCCTGCCGTGTAACCCGCACGGTAACGGGCTGCTCTACGCCGGCTTCAACCAGGACCACGGTGAGTGCGCCCCTCCCCGGCCCGGCCCCTGCCCTGCAGCCCCCTGCACGGCGGGCCTCCGCCCCCGGGCCCCCCACTGCCGGGGCCTCCGTCCCCCCACTGCCGGGGCCTCCGTCCCCCGGACCCCCCACCGCCGGGGCCTCCGTCCCCCGGACCCCCCACCGCCGGGGCCTCCGTCCCGCGGACCCCCCACCGCCGGGGCCTCCGTCCCCCGGACCCTCCCCCGCCGGGGCCTCTGACCCCCGGACCCCCCACCGCCGGGGCCTCCGGACCCCCCACCGCCGGGGCCTCCGGATCCCCCACTGCCGGGGCCTCCGTCCCCGGACCCTCCACCGCCGGGGCCTCTGACCCCCCGACTCCCCCTCCCGGCCGGGCCTCCGCCCCCCGGACGCTCCCATGGGCCGGGCCTCCCTGGGTTCCGCCGGGCCCCGCGCCCTGCCCTCCCGCCGCCGTTCCCATTGGGAGCCCGGTGCCACCGAGGCCGGGGCGGGTCCCGCTCCTCCGGGCCCTTCGCGATTGTCGGGGTGGCGGCCGCCCCTCCAGGCCGCGTTCCCCGTCCCTTGTCCCCGCCCCGGCGGCCCGCGCGCCCACCCCTCGGGCTAGGTCCGTCCCCCCCCCTCGTCCCGGCTCGGGACCGTCGTCGGGTCGTCCCCCTGCAGGTCTTGGGGTGCCCCCTCCGTTAAAGATCTTTAGCAAATAAGCTGAACGTTACTTAAAAGCGCTTCCTAGTCACACCTTTTTTCCTTTTGAATTTTTATAAGTTTATTTGACCCAAACTGACTTCTTAGGCTTTGGAGCAAGATCTCAGGTCCTCCCAGAGGCACCGTCTTGCAGCTGCTTGGAGCTTTTGGGATGAAGGCGGGATGGGTGCTCTCCGGAGGGTGCCTGCCCCCCCTTACTTCCGGCATTTCAGAGGCGGGTCCCCTGCGTGTGTGTGTGTGTGTGTGTGTGTGTGTGTGAGAGAGAGAGAGAGAGAGAGAGAGAGAGAGAGAGAGAGAGAGAGAGAGACATTGATTTCTCTGCTGCCCCACTTATGGACTCTTGGGTTGATTCTTGAATGTGTGACAGGAATCGAACCCAAACGGTGGCGTTTCAGGAAGACACTCTACCCCAGGGGTCGACAACCGGTGGTCCCTGAGGTCTGAAAGGTTAGCAGCCGCCGGTTTAAGGAAACCTTTGGGGTCTGACCAACTGAGCTACCTGTGGGACCCTACTTACACTTTTTATTGACATTCTCGCAGGCCTAGTTGTGTTTTTTTGTTGTTGGTGGTGGTGGTTTTAATCAGAAAATGTCAGTGAAGGAATACCTCCCATCCAGGGCTTTTTCTTTTCTTTACTAAAATCAAAGAACTCTTTTAAGAATTTAGCAGGAAGTTGCATATATATATATATATTTTTTTTTTAACATACTTTATTGATTTTTTTACAGAGAGGAAGGGAGAGGGACAGAGTTAGAAACATCCATGAGAGATAAACATCGATTAGCTGCCTCTTGCACACCCCCTACTGGGGATGTGCCCACAACCAAGGTACATGCCCTTGATCAGAATTGAACCCGGGACCTTTCAGTCCGCAGGCCGACGCTCTATCCACTGAGCCACACCGGTTTCGGCTGTTTTGTCACATTTTGATCTCCGCTGTAGCCCTGGGTAATTTAAACCGGCTGGGAGGGGCTGGAAGGCAGTCACTAGGATTCACCCCCGGGAAGAAAGGGACAGAGCTGCTGCTCAGGGACAGGCTGCCAAGAGCGGCTGCGGGTGGGCTTCCCGAGTTCAGTTTTTGGGGAGATCGGAGCCGGGGTTTGTGAAGATGATGTTGACTGGACAGTGCGGAGCTGGCCTGCTCTCCGTGGCCTGTGCACCGTGTCAGGGGAGAGCTGAAATGTGTGAGAAAACCTAGGTGAGAGGCGGCAGTTTGCAGGCTGTGAGGGAGGGGCCCGTTGACTCCCAGCCTTGGTGGAAGGCGGTAGAGGAGGCGCAGTCAGACCAAAGGAGAAAGTAGGGAAGCGTGTGTTTGACTGGGGCTGAAGGAGTGACCACATGTGTGACCACAGGTGGATTAGGTTTGTCTGAGGGCAGGGACTATGAAGAAAGTAATAATGAGGTTTGAACGTGTGTGGGGCCAGATACTGGACTTTGGGCAATGATTTGTGGCTGAATATCGTGGGTTTAGATTACCAGAGGAAGGACAGTAGGTAGTAAGTTTTTATAGTAATTGAGAATGCTTCGAGGAATTAACAATGACATAACAACTCCTTGAGAAATATGCTTTCAGTGAAAAGAGGTGTCTGGCTGATAAGAAGGGAAGGGAGCCGAAACCCGTTTGGCTCAGCGGTAGAGCATTGGTCTGCGGACTGAAAGGTCCCAGGTTCGATTCCGGTCAAGGGCATGTACATTGGTTGCGGGCACATCCCCTGAGGGAGAGGGGGGTGCAAGAGGCAGCTGATGGATGATTCTCTCTCATCAATGTTTCTGACTCTCTGTCCCTCTCTCTTCCTCTCTGTAAAAAAAATCAATAAAATATATATTTTTTAAAAAAGCAGTGACATTTATAGTTTTATAAAGGCCTCATTAAAGGTTACTTTTAAAATATATATTTTTTTAAATATATTTTATTGATTTTACACAGAGAGGAATTGAGAGGAACAGAGAGTTAGAAACGTCGACCTGCCTCCATGGTTTGGCTCATTGGATAGAGCGTCGGCCTGCGGACCGAAAGGTCCCGGGTTCGATTCTGGTCAAAGGCATGTACATGGGTTGCAGGCACATCCCCAGTCAGGGGTGGGCAGGAGGCAGCTGATCGATGTTTCTATCTGTCCCTCTCTCTTCCTCTCTGTGATCTGTCCCTCTCTCTTCCTCTCTGTGAAAAAAATCAATAAAAAAAATATTTTTAAAATAATAAAATAAAATATTTTTAATAATATTTTAGTTGATTTTCAGAGAGAGAGAGAAACATTGCTGTGAGAGCAGAACATCGGTGGGCTGCCTTCTGCATGTCCCCTACCAAAGATCAAGCCCGAAACCCAGGCACGTGCCCTCATGGGGAATCAAATAGGTGACCGTTCTGTGCACGGATGACAAATGAACTGTTTGCTGGGATGTGCCTACAGGGAATGGTTGTGGCTGTGCATCTGCTGGCGCTCTTAGGAGAAGCCACTTTCTCTAGACCCATCGAGCTGATTAATGTGCCTCTCGCTTTAGGATGCTTTGCATGTGGGATGGAAAATGGATTCCGAGTCTATAACACCGACCCACTAAAAGAAAAAGAGAAACAAGGTAAGAAGCAGCCAACATTTCATGGTTTCTCTGCTTTCCAACCCTCATAGTCTAAAATTATCCCTTAGATTGTAAACGAAAAGAAACCATTGAAACCTTTAAAGAATTTTTGTGAGTTTATTTGAGCCAAACTGTTGGGAAGCATTGAGATAATGCTCTGAAGAATGGTAGGTTACATTTGTATTTATACAAATTTGTATTTATACATTGTAATCAAAGGAGGGACATGGGTGGGTTACATTAAATTCATTGGTGATGGATTAAGGAGGCGGGATAAAGCAAAGCTGTGAGAAACCCCTGGGATTGGATAAAAAGTAAAATGATGGACACATACTTAGATGGGTGCAGGAACAATTAACATAATGAATGAATTTGTAGTATTTGTCCTGGGGCCCACATTTGGTTGTGGCCCAGGGGCTCCAGAAAAATAGGGAAGTTACAACTGACTCAGACCTCTCACAGATACGTTCTCTTAGAGGCAAAAAGGCCTACAGGCTCAGGAAAGATCTAAGTTGATCTTTGGGAATATATCGACCTAGGAATGACTGCCCACTATAACCTGTTTGTAGTTAGATATTTAATTTTCAAAGCATCTTTGGTGGTTATTTTAGGTCTCTGAGTTTGCAAGTCTGCCACACAGGCCTTCTCTGAGTTTGTCAGGTTAGCATGTGATTCCTTTTGTGTACAAGATGGAGGAGGTGGAGGGGGGAAGGGAGAGTTGGATACAGTTGGTTTTGAGAAATAAACAGGGTCCATGGTCCTCCATCACCTGGATGGAGCTGTGCTCTTTCTTTCTTGGAGCTTCTAATGTGCCTGGCTCTGTGCAGGGCCAGGATACTGTAGTGATTTCCTGGGCACTGGCCCAACTGATTTCTCCAGTCAGTTGTCAGCTTGGAAGTCTGGAGAAACAAGGCGTGGTTGGCCTAGACCATGTGCACCCCTTGGTGAAGGTGACGTTGCAGAGACTCAAATGATGGGTTTAATCGCAGCAGACGGGACTTTCTAACTCCTAGTGACCAACTTGGAAATATCTATAGCAGTAAAGTTACATTTTCATAGAGGACAAGCTGGGATCAGGAATTCTGTCAGTAAAATAAAGTCATGGTAATCCTTTTCCCATTTGACAGGAAAAATGTTAAATTTACTGACAGAAATTTTTCAAAAATTTTTTTCTCCTACATGTAAACTGTTAGTGTTTCCTGGTCCTGCTGGGAGAACCAAGCACTGCCTCCTGGATGAACAAATCTCAGATGAATCCTGGGAAGTGAGAAACATCCTTTTCCTCCTGCAGTGTAGTCGTGGTTTTTATCCAATGTACAAGTTACATTTTCTGATGCTAGAAATTTCTCATCTGTAAGAGGAAGTTACTGCATCCTGGTGCTTTATTAAACAGCCCCTTTCATTTTAACAATACTCCACATTTTCAATTTTTTTTTTTTTTAAATAGTGGAACCCCTTTGTCAAAGGAAGTCTTATACCAGCCTGGTATGTAAACCAGTAAGTGGTGCTTTATATAGGAATTTGTTTTGTATCCTGAGGTCTGTCACTTTCATTTATTGGATGAAGACAGGGTAGCCTGGCAATGAAGGGCCCACATTGCTTAGATCCGAATCTTGGCTCTGACCCTTTCCAGGTTGCTGTGTGACCATGGGCAAGTCTTTCCCTTCTCTGGGTCCTGGTTCCTGTATGTGTAAAGTTAGGACAGCTGCCTACGGTTAATGTGAAGATGAACGAGGTGGACCATGTAAAGCTCAGATTAGTTCGGGGCACACAGGATGCTCTGGGCAGGCGTGTGCCCCACCTTCTGCAGCGGCAGCATTGCTGGGAGACTCCCATTAGTCGCCCACACTTGACATCTATTCGTTTTGTTTTGGTTGATAGTGAATTAAGACAACTGCTTTATACAGATAAGTTGTTACAAAATATTTTGAACAGCTTGACTTGCAAATTTTAGGATACTTTTTATTTAAATTGGCTCAGAATCCTGGAGAGGAGTTAGAGTTGATTACTAGCAACAATAGAAGAGAGCAAAACAACAATACTCAGGAAGAACCTAAAAAATAATAAGGTAAGAGGAAGACACCACACATCTTGTGCAGCTGTGATGGACTGGTAGGAGTTGATTCTTAGGCTGACTTCTAATCTCTAGAGATTTTGGTTCCTCACTTGCCCTTCGCTATGCCTTCACTAACCTAGGAGCCCAAGGTCCTTTCAGACCCGAGAGCTAGGTTGGGGAGAAGGGTGGGCAGCCCTGCCCTGTGACAAACAGCACTGGTGGGGCCTGCTCCTCCGAGCCCCCCACTTCTCATCGGGCTCGCTTCACCTTCCTGAGAGCACGGTCTTCCGTGCTGGAGGACATTGAAAATCTGCTGGCATTTATTTCCTCTTAATATAGCTCATGAACAGTTTTGAGCATTTCAAACTTTAGTGGAAGAGTGTTTAAATGATTTTTATTTTTATTTATTTATTTATTTATTTATTTAAATATATTTTATTGATTTTTGTACAGAGAGGAAGGGAGAGAGATAGAGAGTTAGAAACATCGATGAGAGAGAGTCATCGATCAGCTGCCTCTTGCACATCCCCTACTGGGGATATGCCCTCAACCAAGGTACATGCCCTTGACCGGAATCGAACCTGGGACCTTTTAGTCCCCAAGCCGACGCTCTATCCATTGAGCCAAACCAGTTTCGGCGTTTAAATGATTTTTAAAAACTCGGTTTTTGCATTAAAGTGTTTAGCTTGCTTTCTCAGCTTACAGGTTTTGCCATACCATAAAATACGAATTTAGATATGTCATATTTGGTCTATTGGCTTCTTAGGGTGCTACGTGCTCAGCATTTATGCATGAAAATAGTTGATGGTGCCAGGATGCTGGGAGATGTCCGTAGCTCATAGCTAATTATTTTCCCTAATCAGTCACCATTCTTACTTCTGATGGTAGCTAGATGCTTTAAATTGCTGATTAAAGTCAAATGCTAACTGTTAGTTTCACCTCTTTTTCCTTTTTCTAAATTATAAAATATACATGCCTGAAACCAATCATTGTCTCACTAATTAGAAGGCTAGTCAGCCTTGAAGCTCTGAAAGGTCAGAGCCAACCACTCCCTATCTAATTGAGACTATGGCAGCTGAAGCTACTTCCCTACCAAATAATCTTTTTTAAAAAATACATTTAATTGATTTTTTTACAGAGAGGAAGGGATAGAGATAGAGAGGTAGAAACGTCGATGAGAGAAAAACATCGACCAGCCGCCTCTTGCACACCCCCTACGGGAGATGTGCCCGCAACCAATGTACATGCCCTTGACCGGAATCGAACCTGGGACCCTTCAGTCTGCAGACCGACGCTCTACCACTGAGCCAAACCGGTTTCGGCCCCACAAATAATCTTATAAATCCTTACTAATAAGATAATCTGTCTGTTATTGGAACTGCCTGCCTAAGGGTAATGGGTGTATCCCAAGACCCCACTAGAGTTGGGCTTCCACCTGGCCACCATTTCCCAAATTAATATTTTTCTAGCCTTTTATTTGTGTACGACCTTCTCCAGAACCCGAACCCTGAACCTGAACCCTGAATCACACAGGATGTGAAAGGGGTTCCCACATATACATACTAACTTCTTCTTAATACCGTTTCAGAATTTCTGGAAGGAGGAGTTGGCCATGTTGAAATGTTATTCCGCTGCAACTATTTAGCTTTAGTTGGTGGTGGGAAGAAGCCAAAATATCCTCCCAACAAAGGTAAAGTCATCATGCATTTAATAATCGTGCCTCACATGTGCTAGCTTCTTGGACTTTTGAGAACATCTTTGTGTCTGTGGCCACTACCCTGTGGTTCTGGGTAGTCCAAAGGGCTAGCTCTGGGGCTTCCTCACACCATTTCCAGACATTTCTAAAATGGAGTTCCCCATATTTTGACACCCTTGATTGGCATTGTTCATCTGCAGAATTCTGTATGGTTGACAGTTTGCATTTGTTTTGAATTACAGACTTTTTGGTATTTGGTTGCAGAACCAGAGGTAGTTTGCTTTCGAATCACAAGAGTAAGAATGTCCAGAAGATTGTGAACACGTGGGTGTTGGAAGGTTGACAGGCAGTTGTTACCTAGTGTTAGTGTGTTAGTGCATTAGTGCCCTTTACTGGGACCCACTCGGAGGTTTGTTAACTGGAGAGGTTTCTGGAACAAATATGGCTTTTTGAGCAGAGAGATAAAAACGGCTGGATGCTGTATTCCCCTGCATTTCCCTAGCCGTCCTGGTCAGCATTCCTGACCTCAGAGGTTGTCTGTGAGGTGTCTCAGCCCTTGGGATGCAGACTCCCAGCACATCCTGGAGAAGCCCTGCAAACAAGAGCAGGCAGCCATTTCTGAGCTTGAAGAGCAAAAACAGTCAGGTGCAGCAGGGAAACCCTTGGCCTGGGCTTTGTTAGCCTCGGGCTTCACAATGAGATTGACCCAGGTTTCTTGCTAGCACATTAACACTTAGTAACTAGGAAGAGGGCTGGATGAAACTTGCCTGAGCACTAGGCAAGGGCTGTCAGAGGAGAGAGCAAAGCAGCTGTGAATGTGTGAGGGGCTGTGAGTGCGACAGGGGAGGGGAAGGAGCAGAGGAGTCCTGAGGGGGTGGCTTAGACCTGGGAGGGAGAGACACCTCTCTGCCTGGTCAGGTGACTGGCATAAGGACCCTTCAGAGTGGCCTGTTCAGTGTTGTGTTCATACATTATTTCTGCATTTCAGTGATGATCTGGGATGACCTGAAGAAGAAGACTGTCATTGAAATAGAATTTTCTACAGAAGTCAAGGCAGTCAAATTGCGGCGAGATAGGTAGGTTTGATATCCAATTTCTAAAAGTGGAACAGTACTTTCTCGGAAGGTGGCTGAAATACTTTTATGTTGAAGGAAGCAAGTGTTCAAGAAAATAATGTATTAAAATGTGATGTCTACAATAAAATTTTTTTTTAAATTAATGGCACAGTAAGTAGTAACCTCTGAAATGTATGACAGGAAAAAAAGAAAAAGAAATGTGATGACCGTGGTTTATGATCCAAAGGACATAGGATGATTTGTTACTGCGAGGAAGGCAGTGAATTTTAATGGCCTCCAAGGGTCATTTCGAGGCAAGGGGTCAGGGCTTAGATTAAATGCACCTGCCTCGGCCTGGCGCTGCCCTCAGTGGCTCTCAGGCTGCGGGAGAGCTGTCTCCATCCAGCAGGCGCTGGCGGATGACAGGGTTTTGAACCATGCTTTTCCAAAAGCCGTCTCAGTACATATTTCCAATGGGAAGGTAAAGGAATATTTGGAAACTCCTTATTAGATGGTGTCTGACTTGTTGAGAGCAGGTTTCTTTCTCAGCTGTTGCCTTCAGAGTGTGTAGGGCAATATGGTGAGTAGCACGGTAGGACAAAGCTTCACTACTTTGGATTTCATTTGATATGGTTTACATATTATATTCAGCTGCGGAGAACAAAGACAGTGAACAAGATGAATGTCATCCCTGTATTCTTGTTATTTCTGGAGATGTCAATATTTAGAGACCCTTAATAATGCAAATAGTGGAGCCAAATCCAGGACCTCCCACTTGCTGGCATTTCTCAAGTACCATATCTGAAAGCACAGAAATGTAATCGCAGCCCCATGTACTCTACTTTGTACGGTGTTTCAAGTTTCTAAAGTTCAAAATGATAAGAACAGAATCCCAAAATAGTTGAGTTTTGCTCTGGGAGAGGAATCCTGATTTATTTTTTCTTTCTTTCTAGAATTGTGGTTGTTTTGGACTCTATGATTAAGGTGTTTACATTCACACACAATCCCCACCAATTGCACGTCTTTGAAACCTGCTATAACCCTAAAGGTAAGAGATTCAGAAGAGTGCCGAGACCTGCAGGCTGGTCTGCCTGAGGGCCCTGCTGTGGTGAGGTGTCCTGAGGGGATTGGGGCACTTGCTCCCTCTACTTCCTCCTGGGTGACCCTTCCCAGACCAGCCTCCGAGGGTTCCTTTATCAGAGTTGGGGCCTCACACCTGGTAATTGCTGGGTTATTTTGTAAACACGCATCTGATTCTACAGAAAACGAACAGAATGTTTTCCAAAGTGGTGGTGTCCACCTTTGCACTTCCGTAAGTGATTTATGAGCGTCCCAGTTGCCACCCGTGGCATTGTCAGTCTTTTAACTTCAGACGTCGTAGGTATGGTGGCATCTCCTTGAGGGACTTGGGACAGGAGCCCCTCTGTGCTTTATTGCCAGTTGCATCTTTAGTGTGAAGTACCTTCAGATCTTTTGCCCGTTTTGAAATTGATCATTTCAATACTGAGTTGAAAGAATTCTTTATATAGTCTAGTTAAAAGTCAAATTAAGTGTGCCTGGCTAGTGAGGCTCAGAGGTTGAGTGACAACCTAGGAACCACATCAGGGTACATGCCCTGGTTTGGGCTCCATCCCAAGTATGGGGCGGGCAGGAGGCAGCCGTCAATGATTCTTTCTCATTTTTGATGTCTCTATCTTTCCCTCTCTCTTCCTCTCTCTGAAAGCAATAAAAACATATTTTTAAAAAATCAGATTAAGAATATTCTGGATTCCTTAGTCTATTCCCGTGAGCTGTGTTTCTGTCCTCATGTCAGCACCATACTGCCCTGATTTTTGGAGCTTTACAATATTTCTTGCAACTAGATGGAACAAAGTCCTCCAAACTTGTCCTTACTTTACATAAAATATTTTTGCTATTTCAGGCTCTTTGCCTTTCCTTATAAGCTTAGTATCAGCTTGTCTCTTCAAAAGAGCTGGGGGAGACTTTGACTGCAAATGTAGATTCCAATCCACAGTCGTAGTGTAGCTCCATCTGTTAGGACTTTGGTTTTCCTTTGCAACGTGTAGCAGGGTCTTAAAATCTGTTGTTGAATTTATTCTTAAGTATTTTGTTTTCTTTTGCTATTGTTAATGGAGTTTTCACATTTTAAAATTTTGCATTCTCAGTGTCTGACCCCATGTAAGACAGACATTTGATAAAGTTTATTCAATAAGTTCAGCAAATGTTTCCAGTTATGAGAAGGTCTCATGGGAGATAGCTTCATTTGGCCCTCTGGTACCCTTTTTTGATTCTGATATAAATGAAAACCCACAAATAATTCTCACTTTTTTCCTTGGGAACTGGAGAGCAGAGAGCAGGTTGACAAAGCTCTGGATGTGGGAAAGTGGAGGCTTTGAAGGTGGTTTGGAATCCTCGACAGCTTTTCTCTGTCTCTGTTTAGGCCTCTGTGTCCTGTGCCCGAACAGCAACAACTCCCTGTTGGCCTTCCCCGGGACTCACACGGGCCACGTGCAGCTCGTGGACCTGGCCAGCACCGAGAAGCCACCTGTGGACATTCCTGCCCACGAGGGCGTTCTGAGCTGCATTGCTCTCAACCTGCAGGGAACAAGGATTGCAACCGCATCTGAAAAAGTAAGGGTGTGTCCCTGCCTGGAGGTCTCGGTCCTGCGGGGGCCCGCCCACCCTACCACCTCACAGATGGGCTCCGCAGGATGGTCCAGAAGTCAGGCCTCGTCGGGGGCAGAATTGCAGCCTTGCTTTTCCTAACTGGCTGTGGGGTTTACAGGGAAGGTGCCCTTTCTGTAGACGTATGAGTTAACGGCACTAACGGGCAGGTCAGGCTGGCCTCGGTGTGCTCTTGGTTGTCTGCCAGGGAGATGCCCAGGGTCAGTCAAGGGTCCCAAGTGTCTTCCCTCACCCCTTGGCCCCTGCATCAAAGAGCCACCAGCCATTCTTGGGAACAGTGGAGGGAAACGTCGGGTTTTAGAGGATGTGGGTGAGTTTGGGAGGAGGTTGTAAGGCTGGTGGTTTTGTGAATAGATCTCAGTGAAAAAACTAAACTGTTATGAATCTTTGATAATGAAACACTTCACTGTTTTTCAAAGGGGACCCTTATAAGAATATTTGATACTTCATCAGGGCATTTAATCCAGGAGCTACGAAGAGGATCTCAAGCAGCCAATATTTATTGGTAAGGGTGACTGCATTTCCACCTGCCAAGGCATTGCTTAGGTGGTACAGTGAAATGGGCCCTGTGTGATGTGGAGCGACAGGCGAGACCCCTGGGCAGCAGGCAGGAGGCGGCTATGCTGTGGTGGGGGGCACGTGTCAGTTTATTTTATTAGTAATTTTAACGTTTATTTTGGGAATATATAATATACAAAAGGAGGAAGAGGCTTATAATTACCATTAACCCATCATCCTCCTTGAGCAATTATCAGTATTGTCCAGTTTTATTTTACCTCTTCACTTTTCCCCCAGCTTATTTTTCTGGGGTATTTTATGGCAAATGTTAGAGACCCTGATGGTTCATCTGTAATTATTAGCCACCTCTGAGAGTCTGAGCTGCTTTCTCCATCGTAGCCGTTACCGTACCCTTGGTGTTGGCAGGACTAAGGTGCTGGACCCCTGGATGGGCAGGATTCCACTCTTGGCCTCTGTGGCTCTTGTAGGTGCCGAGCAGCATTGTGTCTGGGAGTGAAGAATGCAGTTCATATATAAACGTAGTGCGTGCGCCTGTGGGGCCTATGGTGGCAGCGCTCTCCTGTCTGTCTGCTCTCAGCCGTCCTGCAGAGCCGGGGCCTCCCCAGCCCAGCCAGCCCAGCCCAGCCCGCCCAGCTCCAGGGGCTAGCCTGCACGTGCGGGGAGCAGGGTGGCTGAAGAGGCGGAGGTGCTCTCACCCCCGTGGCTGCGGGACAGCCTCAGGCCCTGGACTGCAGTTGGTCTGCAGAAAGCCCTCCCTGTCCCCAGCATCCAGCGTGTCTGTGACACGGGATGCTGAGCTTGGACTCCGGGTTCCATGCTCACGAGCACTGTGGGCTTGTTCAAGAAGGGTTGGTTCTTACATTGCTGTCCTGGATGTGGAACAGCCAAGGTGGCAGCTCGGCAGGCTTGTGGCTGTGGTGGGGGCTGGGCTCCTTGAAACCCACTTGAGACCCTAGCCTCCTATTTCTCTGCAGCATCAACTTCAATCAGGACGCATCCCTCATCTGCGTGTCCAGTGACCACGGCACAGTGCACATCTTCGCTGCTGAGGACCCAAAAAGGAATAAGCAGTCGAGGTAGGTTCCCAGAGCAAAAAGGACTCGCTGTTGCTTCACTGCGGGCAGTCAGTGATTCACCGAGCAGGGTCTTCATGGCCGTTCCTTTGATTCCTTGAAAACCAGCGCAGACTATTTGATACTAAACAAATCTTGTCATTACCTCCTGTCGTTCCCTCCTTAGAAAATGCCCGCTGAGGACGCAGGCACTTGGTCCTGCATGCCCATGGCTGTTCTTGTTTGCTGCGTTTAGAAATGAATTTTGTGACAGTCGCAGCTGTGCCCTTTCTGGTGCTGATGGCTTCCGGGGTGGTTATAAAGACATTTGTAAGGACTTAGGTTTTTTCATGTGAAAAACAAAATATTAAAAGCAAAAATAGAATTGAAATTATTAAGACTGCGTTAAACAGAGCTGTATCTTTAAGACGTGACTGTAACTTCTTCTCTTTCCTTCTTTGTCCTCATAGTTTGGCATCAGCCAGTTTCCTTCCAAAATACTTCAGTTCCAAGTGGAGTTTTTCCAAGTTTCAGGTTCCCTCAGGCTCTCCATGCATTTGTGCCTTTGGAACAGAGCCAAACGCTGTCATTGGTAAGTGGTCCTGCCAGACAAGAATGACAAGACCCCCAGCCCGTGTTGGGTGCCCTAGCCCAGCCCTGTGGGGAGCCCTGTGTGTCCCCCTTGGTCTGCACAGCCATGTGAGATGTCGCCAGCTCCCTGCCCTCCAAGGGTTCCCAGGAAATCCTGAGGGCACATCAGTTGGTTTTTTAACAGATGACCTATCGCCAGCACTCCTAGAACAGTTGGGACTCTGGCCACCTATGTGCTCAGTTAGGACGGGGAGCCCTGGCCGTCCCCAAGTCCATGTACAATCAACTGCTCGGTGCTCCGTGTGGCCCTTTGCAGTTGAGCTGAGCGAGGGCTGCTCGCATTAACGTGGCGGGAAGAACAGTGAGTGAGATGGTCTCCTTCTGTTGCAGCAATCTGTGCAGACGGCAGCTACTACAAATTCCTGTTCAACCCCAAGGGGGAGTGCATCCGGGATGTCTACGCCCAGTTTCTAGAAATGACCGACGACAAGCTGTGACTCTTCACCCAGAGTGCAATCACCACCCACAGCCGAGTGCCCCCAAAGTGCTGAGTGTGCCCCTCAAACTTCTGGGGCTGGTGCCGGTACCTTTGGGCCTTGTGGGTGACAGGCTGGAGGGACCGCCGGGGACCTTGGTCTCGAAGCCACAGGTGGTTGTCTGTTTCCTAAGCAAGGCTTCTCGTATCCAGTATTGAAGGAAGGATAAGCGTGCAGGCGTCCAGGACACTCAAGTGGCTCTGAGCCGTCCACACCTGCCTGCCGCTCGCTCCTGTAGTTCAGCTGTGATGCTAGCTTTCCTGGGTCACTGTTTCTTCCTACCTGCAGTCAGGACTCCAAACAGACTTTGGGGCTGGGTTGAGAAAAGGATGGACAAATGGAAATTTGTTTTTGTCAACAGATTCCGCCGTTTTCACTGAATCTAATGTGGAAATGGACTGATGTATAAATGTTAGTTCTTATAACCAGATTTCAATAGAATAATCATACCAGCAGCTTGCCTTAGAAGAGGAGAAAGGAGCTTTCTCCCATCTGAACATGAAGAAGGACGACACAGCTGTGTCAGAGCACAGGTGGACATTTCCCTTGTGAGTTCCCGTTGTGGTCCTCTGTGCCCTTGTCACCTGTGGTGCGATTGTGTGCACACGTGCTGGCGGCCTGTCTTTCTGTTGGAGTTGAGGCAAACACTGGGCCTCCCAGTGAGGGCGCTTGTGCATCACCTGGTGAAAACTCCCAGTGTGTTCAGGCAACGGCAACGTAGAGACTTTGAAGTTAGTCGTAGAAGAAAGCATCACTTAAAGGATTTGAAGGGAAACATCGACATCTCAGCAAAGCGGAGTGGGGAGCCCTCCTCTGCCACTTCCACGTCCTGCCTCACTACCTTTTCTCTCTCGACACTCATAAGAGCAGCCCACTAACAATGAGAGTGAAGGACACATAACTTGAACTTTGGGTAACAAATAAGTTATGGGCTCAGTGTCTGTGCTGGTGAGGACAGTGTTGGATGTTCTTAAGTCCTCTGAAGAAACAGCTGCAGGTTTTGATTTCAGGTAGCAAACAGTTAGGATCTGCAGCAGCAAGTTCTCCGTTTGCCAGTTCTCTCACTGTCATGTAATCAGCTAACTTTGTATGTGGGTTTCAATGTCAAGTATGCATGTTTCTTTCATGTGTATTTAATCATGAATTTAATTTTGCACTTATTTTTAATGTTTCTTTTAAATAAAAGTGACTAATTTTGTTGTACTCTGTACCTCGCAAGAGTAAAGAATTGTATGTTATAAAACCAAGCCCCTGGTTTTGAGAATCCGGTTGAGTCGTGGGCTCTAGGGCTGCCCCACATGCCCTGCCCATCAGGCTGCTGTGACGGAGCCCGGCTCCAGGGCGCCCTGCCCCAGGCGGCAGTGGCTTGGCAGCTCGGTTCCCTTGGGGAGCAGAGGTGAAGCGAACTCTTTAGCAGTGCTCTGCTCGTGGTCTTAGGGAGGCGTGGCCCGTGGTCTTTAGGCCTGGACGCTGCTCACCGGAGTGGTGCAGTGTTAGGCTACCCTGTCAACTTCACGCTCACTCAGCTAACACTTTAACGGAGGCATCCTTCACATCCGTAAAATTCTAGTTTATATTTTCCCCAAGTACAATCCCTCCGGTGTATCCAAGTATACATTAAATGGAGGGGTGGGGAGGAGTATGTCCACAAAAGACGCTTTGGAATTAATTCTTGGTGCATGGAGAGCCTGGGGACTGGAGAGGAAGGCAGGGCAGTCTTGGGGTCCACTGGTACCACCCCGTGAGACCATGTCCTGGGGCAAGGCTTTGCCTCCTTTAGGGAAAGACAGGCCAGCCCCTCAGCCCCTTTGGGCTCATGGAGATTATCCCGTTGTACCCAACAAGCAAAGTCCCGGCAAGACCATCCCTCCGAGGTGAGGCGGTGTCCTTTATCCTCCGGCTGTTTTCATGGTTGGTTTTTAATGTGAGAAGCATCAGAGAAAATGCAGCCATGCTGGGGACTGAGCATCAGGAGTTCATGGCCCCATAGAGCCTTTCTGACCTCACGGACCACCAGTTGATGACCTCTGCTTTAGCGATTTTCCTGGATCTTTAGATATTAATTTTGGATTGTATTGTAGACATTGTATATATTATGAGATTAAGTCCTAGTAAAATCTTCTAGAGAATGTTTGTTTGTTAGGTACAAACAGCATGAGCTATGGTTCTAGTGTTTTAAGCCTGTGCTGCTTGCTCCTTGGGTCCACAGCTGTGAACAATCCCTGCGGTCGGTCAGGTCATCAAGTCTCTGCTTACCCAGGGCAGTGCCAGGCTTGTGTAGCTCAGTGAGCCCAGCTTGTCTGTGCAGCTTTAGGGGCTTTTTCTTAACTTCATGTTTGCCATGCTGTCCCCCACATTTGCCATTTCCCAGGCACCCCTTCTCCTGGTCCTGTGACTGAATGCTCAGGTTTTTGCCTCCCTTTGATTTTGCATATTTCCTGTGACTGGGTCCACCCTGGGGCCAAAAAGGTGAGAGGAAGTGTGACAGGGACTCTCCTGTCCTTGGCTCACAGGAGCAGCTGCATGACCCAGGGTCTGTCTGGGACCCTTCCCAGGACACTGGCCAGTGTGAGGGAGGGGGTTTCCATCGTCAGGATTGGTGGTTGTGGCCCCTCGGAGACGGGCAGTGTGCTTATCCCGTGGGGGCCTCTGACAGACATTTCTAGGTCAGAACACCTGCGCCCTCAGGTTAATCGTCTCAGGTCGCCAGAGGCCCGTGTGGAAATCTGACTTGCGTGGCTGTGACGTAAGCACAGGAGAAAGCAGCCAGGGGTGAGGTGTGCCAATCTAGCGTGGAATTGCAGACCCCAAGCCAGCGCTGCAATCTCAGTCTCCCACCTCCCGTCCAGCCCAGAACTCGCTGGGTGGGGACCGGTTGCATGGAGACTCGTCCTGTGCCAGCGTCTTCTGTTGCAGACGGGACTCACAGGGCTCCTGCTGCATTGTTTCCTGCATCTGCAGTGCAGGCTCCTTTTGTTGGATACGCAGTCTGAGTATAGCATGAGCAGTTTTCTCTGCTAATATGACTCATTTTAAATTAGGGCATCAGTGTAGGGGATGAAACATTCCGTACGAACTCTGTCCTTGAATGCTCACTTTTAGCTTCATTTAGCTCCCCGGGGGCCTCTGTGCCATTCTGCTCAGGACTCGCCTCTCGCTCAGAGCTCTAGGCCTTTGGCGTGCTCAGAAAAGTGTCAAGTAAAAAACCAATGAAGAAATGCCGTTTATCAAATGACAATGATACTCTTTATTCAATCAAAATTAATAAAAATATTTTATTGGATTTCAGGAACTTGGTACTTTTAAGATTTCAAATCTTTGCACACAATTCTAATGATGCTCTGTTCTAATGGCGGTTGGTACTGAAGATCCACTTATCTCCGTGACACAGAGCACAGACTTCCCAGTCCTGGAACCAGCTGCCCTGGCTCCAGTGGAGGACGTGGGTCGGTGTGTTTAAGGAGCTCAGCTGTCTGCGTGAGGACCCTGCCACCAGGTCAGCGCCAGCATGCAGACACCCCGAACGCACCACGCCTTGCAGGTCACGTGCAAGTTTCCCTTTTGTATTTTTGTTTGGTTCAAGGCAAAGCTGCAGAAATGAAGTTTCTGGTCCCTCAGGGAACTCCGACATTTGGCAAAAGTCATAGAAGTTTCTTGAAATTAAGACTTTAGGAGCTGCCAGTGGAGAGTCGGGGGGAGAGGATCCCATGTCACACATGCACTGTTTGGCACCAGGCCTCCAGCAGGGCAGCAGCTCAGTGGCCCTTGTATGTTGAGGGCTCTTGAGAATTCAGAGTTAAATTGAAAAACACTTGCTTGGAATGTGGTAGTTTTCTAACCCATGTTTTTTCCGGTCTTCTTGTTTTTAAGTTTCTATGCGCCAACTAGGTGTGGCAGCAAAAAGGAAAAAGGAGAGACAATCCTCACCTCTGAAAGGCCCTCCAGCTGCCTTACAGTGGACAACCATCCTCCCCTCTAAAATCTGAAAACTAGGTTCTTATCATCCCAGCAGAAATTCCTCCGGACCCACAAAGTCTATGTTTTGGGCTCAGAAATAGCCAACTGATGGCCGGATGGGTGGGAAGGATCTGCCCGAGTCCTCTGTGGTGGTGACAGGTTGGTTTCTCCAGAACACACGGTGTGTCTGGTCACTGCCGCCCAAGCTGAGTTCCCCACGGGGGTCTTGTGCATTCACCTGCTGGGAGCTCACAGCAGGGGCACCAGCATGACAAGCGCGTGGGCCTTTCAGAGGAGACCCGACCCCACACACGGGACACAGCGCAACCTGAAATATTTTGCAAGCATCCAACCTCCTGAACAACAGGCAAGTAGACATATACATTCCCGGGTTGGTAACGTGCCTGGAGAACCTCACTCTGCGAGTGAGGTTCTGCCACTGTCACACACGTGGTCTCACTCGCTGGACGGTTCCGTTTTATTGTTTAAATGGCTGAGTTATAAATCAAGCTATTTGCAGTAATTTCATAATTTTTAATATGCATGATCTGCAGTAACATTGTGACAGCTCCATACTTTGGATTGACACACAATACTTAGAACAGATTTATCATATTTGGTCTTTAGGTAAATAATAAATGTTTTAAAATTGCCTAAATATACCATTCTGAGCCATTTCATTCCATCAGGAAAATACAGGGGATTTTTTCCTCTCTTAAAAAAAAATTAAATACCAAAATAACTACATTTAAATAAATAACGTTATGATGATGACATTTAAAAATTCACAATAAGGCCAAAGCCCTCTTTCTAGTTGCCCGGCTGCTCAGCCCTGACCCCGAGAACACTCTGGAAAGGCGAGTGGTTTCCTTCCGGAGGAGCCTGAGCCAAGGCCTGGGTGCCTCCTACTTTCCATTCTCTCACCTGTGCCTCTGTCCTCTTGCTTCTAGTTTCTGTAGGAGAGAAGTCAGCCTTGGTGGATTCCGTTTCGAAGGGAGATGGAATTTCCTATCACAAATTAGAAAACGACCTAGATGTTTCCCATGCTTCACCGCAGGGTGCTTGCTTCTCAGGCCCTTGTATTAACACGGAATTTCTGCTCAGCCCAGCAGCTGCTCTGGGTGCGTAGGGCAGAGCTGGGAGACAGCTGGTCAGACGGTGCTGACCCGGTGACGGCACCTAAAATAGCGGACAAGCCACCAAGAGAGCGGTGACATTTGAGAGGGCGTGTGACAAAGGACTGAATTACTCCCCCTCCCCCCAATAAGTAGGAATAGTTCTGTTGTTTTAAACACACAATACTTAAGAGACTTGTTTTACTTAGAGTGGAAAATTATGCCAGGGACCAAGTCAACACAAAGAAACAACAAAAAGTAGCAAGAAAGAGAAACAGTTAAGTGCAGCCCGCAGTCCAGCAGTTCATCCATGCAGCCGGCCGCGTCCTGTCCGTCCCTCACCCTGAACTGGAGGAGTAAACGCACCCGCAGCTGCTCTGATGGAAAACGGGCAGTTGTCATCTCGTAGCTCCTTCTGATTTTTAACGGACAAAGTCAGTCCTCCCACAGGCGGACAGCAAACAACGAAAACAAACAGAACCATGTTGTTGTTGTTTTTTCTCCAAATGAAACCCACACTAAAGGTCCTGTGATTCCAAAGTTTCCAAGTAGAATGGAGTGATGTGAAATGCCAAAGACCCATTCTTTTGTAAAGAAAGAAAGTACACCCCGAATATTCTAGTTCCACGTGTGAACAAAATACTGTCTTCCCCTGCCAGCCCCGGCGTCCTCTGAGCAGGTGGGGGCTCCTGCGCTGGCCTCCAGAGGCAGGCCAGTCCGGCCGATGGGCTGGCATCGGGCCTCATCTCATCCTCACTCGGAAGGACCGAGTCTGCTTGCGGTTAAAAGATGAGCGCTGGGCGGAGACATTGCCGGCACCAGGCTTCCATGTGTGGTTTCAAAGTTCAGGTGTGACTTCTGTCCTGAAGGAGTTGTAAGGCCACCTGGGTCTTGTGTGTTCAGTGCTGACATGAAGTCCAACCGCAGGCCCTCTGCCCACTGAGAGGAGGCGCTCCGAGCGTCGGGATGGGCAGTGTCTCCTTTTGGCACCAGAGTTGACAGTAAAGTTAGAAAAGCTCTCCGGCCGCTAGTTCTGGATGCCCTTCTCCCTTGTGGCCGCTGGAGGCGTGTCCACACTCAGGGCGATGACGATGCTCTCGCCGTCTTCAGTCTTGACCCGCTTCAGCTCCGGCTGCTCTGATTGGTCTCCGTTCTGGCGCTTGGTCGGCAGGGAGGCCGATGCTGAGGCGTGTGTCGCCAGCATGTGCAGAGGACTCGCCGCTGCTGCAGAGAGACAGTGAGTCAGATCCCAGGCTCTGCCTATGTCAGCTTCTCCCTGTGACCTGCACAGCCCTGGATGGCCCAGGGGAAAGGAGCCTGGGCAAATAAACTGTATGAGTGTTGGTTACTTTTCTTAAGATACATTTTTTTAAAAATATATTATTTATTGATTTCAGAAAGAGAAACATCGATGAGAGAGAATCATGGATTGGCTGCCTCCTCCATGTCCCACACTGGGGATCCCACAACCCAGGCATGTGCCCTGACCAGGAAATGAACAGTGACCTCCTGGCTTCTGGGTTGAGACACTCAACCACCGAGCCACACCAGCTAGCCTCTTAAAATACTTTAATATATATATATATATATATATATATATATATATATACACACACACACACACAAACAAACACACATACATATATATATATATGTGTGTGTATGTGTGTGTGTATATATATATATATATATACACACATATATATATATTTTTTTTTAATTGACTTTTTAGTGAGAGAGGAAGGGAGAGGGAGAAAACACGGTCTGTTGCCTTGATCAATGTTGACACACCCAGCCAGGGATCGAACCCACCACCTGGGCGTGAGCCCTGTTAGGGAACTGAACAGGTAACCTTCCCATGCACTGGCCAGGACTGACTATGGGTGTGTTTAGGAACAGCGGGCATCGTGTTTGTCACTTCGGAAAGTGTGGCTTCCTGACAGAGCCTGGAGGAGGCTGAGGCTCAGGGTGAGGCAAAGGTGGCCCAACAGTAGACAGCTTTGCTGTTGTGGCCAAGGAGCCCCTGACCCCTCCATGCCAAATGCTCAGAACTTCACACGGGAGGGGGAGCAGGGCACAGAGCTCAGGCTCCCAGCTTCTCCCTGGCTTCCACCTCATCCAGGGGGCCCTTCCTCCTCATAGGCAAACATGGGGGGGATCCCTGCTGGGCACCAGGGTCTGCTCCTTCCCCAGACTCTGTGCCACCGGCAAACTCCAGGTGGTGAATACCAGGGTGGCTCCCATTGAGAAAGCACCACTGCCTCTAAGGGAGGACTGGCTAAGAGCCAGCAATGCAGCGTGAGCGCCTGGCACACATGACCCCGGGCAGCCGCGTCCATTGGGGGTCCTTGACCTTCCATCCTCAGGCCTGAGGGCGAGGGGCCCGGCAGCAGAGGGCCTGACCAGCATCACAGGGGCATGGAGAGGTGACCCTCCGCCCTGACAGCCCAGAACCCCGCGCAGGAGGGAGAGCGGCGGGAGGATGGCGAGCAGCCCCACAAGCTGCCAGAAACACTGAGAAAACTACCAACCAACATCCCCGACGATTGCGGATACCAATACCCTCCGCCGAGCTTCAGCAAACCCAAGTCAACACCCATCAAAGGCTCCTCACGTGAGGAGCACAGGAACAAAGGGAAGAACCACGGATCCCCCTCGTACAGAAAAGCACTGGCGGGACGCAGCACCCTGTCATGACAAACTATGCGGCAAACCAGAAGCAGGCGGGAAATTTCTCAGCCTACTCTAGCCTATACAGGACAGCCCTACAGCCAGCATCGGCCTCGGGCTGAAAGCTGATGCTCCCTGCAATGAGGAGAGGAGGGCCCCTCTGCGCTGCTCCCCGCCCTGTAGGTCCGGGTGGCCAGGACACAGGATGAGGAAGCGAGGCTGTCTCCACGGACAGAGACGTGTTTTACCCAGAAAATCCAACCAATTCACACGAGAAAACAAACGCAGCAGCTTATGGGATAAGATCAAAACAAACCCACTGTATTTCTACACAGCAGCAACAAACAATTTAAAAAGGAAACAAAAAAACAATTCCCCCGCCGAAAATACCAAGACACCTCTGTCTCTTAGCTCAGAGCCAAGCTCCCTCTGTCTGTCTGCTCCGTGCACCCGATCAGGAACGGTGGATAGGGACACACAGGCTTCAGCGAGGACACCCCAGGGGACACCTCCCAAGAGAGGTTCCACCATCCAAGCCTCAGGCTGCTTCTAGGCCACAGCCAAGTCCGCACGCAAAAGGGGAAGTACTTCCTCTAGGCTTTTCCAGGCGCTCCTCCCCAGTCCCTCCAGGGGATCCTGCGAGCCACTCCCACGAGCACTCCGGTGTCTGCGGGGTTGGGGCTCAACCAGTCACACTGACTGACAGTCAGGACGGACACTCGGACCGTGCCCTTCAGAAAGGAGGGAAGGGTCCCTGCTGCTTACCGTTGTTCACCTGGCCGTGCACAGCTGCGGGGATTGGCACCACGTGAGTCCCGTTTTGCGTTACAGTTTTTATCGGAAGCTGGTGCTGACCTAGTGGCGGCTGCGGCACGATGGTGACTGTCTGGACAGGGGTGGTCTGTGCCGTCTGGATGACCCGACTGGCAGTGCCCAGGGTGGCCTGGCTCAGCGCAGGAATAGGTTCCACTTTCACTGAAATAAAAAGAGCAGAAATGGCACCGACTGTACTGCGGGGCGCTGAGACCCTCACCAGCTAACAGAAAAGCCCTGTGGCTAGCAGGCCTGCTGGCTTCTGGAGCGGGGACAGCTGCCTCAGCAATGGCCTCAAGGCTCACCTTTCACTTCCCGGTGGTCTCCGTTCTCCTGTGGCTCCACTTTAGGAGGGGCCAGCATGGCTGTCTGTGCCACCACAGCCTGCCCGGCAACAGTGTACGTGTTCGCTGGGGCCAGTCCGGCCACACTGGTGACGGACACAGTTGGGATCTGGTGGACAACGTGAACCGTCTGCACCACGGGCTGCTGGGAGGCCGAGGTGGTCACAGGGGCAGCGACAGTGTAGGTGACGGGCTTGATGGTCGGGGGCAGCTGCCGCTGCACAGCGATTAACACGGGCTGACTAGACAGCGGGGAGCCTGCGAGAGGAGGAGCAGGATTGAGGCTGGTGTCCTGTGTCCCTCCCACCCGTTTCCCCAAACCTGATCACACACGGCTTCCTGACAGAACAGGGCAGGCCCTGTCCACCTGCAACAGCCACATCACTCCCGGTCATAAACCTCCATGCCAGTAGCCCAACATCTGCTCTGTCCACCTTCCTCACAACAGCTCTTCCTATAGTTCTTTTCTCACAAAACAATTTGGACACAGGATATGGGAGGAGGCTGCCCGTGGAGGGCCGACTGAGGGCCACGCTCCCCAGGCTCAGCCTTCCTCTCACAACTGAGCCAGGGAATGAGAGGTTGGACCCAAGGCCGCAGTGAGCCTGCCGCCAGCCTCTGCTCTGCTTTAGGCTGAATCAAGGCAGACACAGATGACAGGACCAGGCTTATCGGGGGCCAGGAACTCCAATACAGCAAAGCGCACACTCACCAACCAACCAGGAACCAGAAAATTAGTAATTTGGACACACTTCTACACTTCCGTGTTTGTTTTTTAATCCCCATGGCACATATTTTTATTCCGCACTGTGACTTTATAAGTAAACTGCAAAATGCTCACCAATCATCAAATGGACTCTTTTTTGCTGCTCATCAACCAATGTCTAATGCGTAATTTTTTTGGGGGGGCGGTATTTCTTTTTCATAAATTTTTAAATGATAAAGCAACTAAGGAACAGCTTAATTCAAAATTCCTTCAGACATCTACACAGGGTCACCTGCAGGAATGCTCAGAGCCTGTAAGACAACTCTCAGGGGCTGTGCAGTGTCAGGTACCAGAGAACCAAGCTTCTTCCACTTCTCAACGAGCCTCTGCCCTCCCCCCGCCTGCCCTCTGCACGCCTCACCTGGTGCACTCTGGGCAAACCGTGCCTCCTGGATGACAGCCAGCTTGGGCTGTGAGGCGCCAGGCTCGGGCTCCAGGGGGGCCGGCGAACCTTCCCTCGACAGGCTCTCGGGGGTCTGGGCACCGCTGGAGTGAGCAGACAGCACTCCGGCGTGATTAGGAGAGGCGGGGGCACTTCTGTATGCCAAAGAGAAGACGGTTCGTAAAGGTCAAGCATGCCCGCGATGTCTTGTTTCTGAACAGTGTATTTTACAAAAAAGAGGTGTCACTGGTCTGCTGCCAATTATTCCCATAATCTTACTTTCTCTGTGAACGCTGTGTCTGAGATGGACACTCAGCGAAGACTCGCTTGTCTGTGCCAGGGTCACTGTGTACTGGGCGCTGCTGCCCACGCCCAGCGCAGACCACACAGCCATGGAGGTGGACTGCCACGCTGTGTAAGCAGTGCCCACTGGCCAGGCAGCAGGCAGTATGCAAACTGGGGGAGCTTCAGACTCATGTTATTGTCATTTCTTTTTTGTTTAAAAACAGTATTGATTAATGAAGTTAAAAATGTGTCATTTTAAACTCAGGCAATTAATATTGTATAATTTGATCCAGTTTAAGCAGCTACAAAGTAGCTTTAAAGAGCTTCCACAGTCCAAAGGAAAGGAAAACACAGGATTGGTCAATCTGAAATGATACATTGTGCCTCATCATATTACAATACTCAATGAGTTCAATGAAGCAGCAACTGCTACCTGGAAACAAGTTTAAATAAAACTTTACAAACAATCTGAATTGCTTCCGACCACCGGAAACAAAAACAGAGCGCCCAACACTTTGTTTTTCCAAATCCCCATCCCAACATTTAATCATAATGCATTTGGTACTTCTTTCATTTTCCAAAGGAAGTTTACCAACACATCGAAGGTAAATTACTGACCATTGAGTGAGGTCTTTTTGTTTGTCTTTTATCCTTACCTAGATGAGAGCGGTCCCAGAGGGGTTCTAAAGCAAGGCACGCCCCTAGGCCGTCTTTTCCTAAAAGCCTGCTCTATTAATTTGCTTTCAGAAGCAGGATCTATCCTCCAGAATGAGCCTTTGCCTGGTTCTTCCTGGGAACGTGGTACTTTGATGAAATAACGATTCAGAGAGAGATTGTGGCGAATTGAATTCTATGAAACATAAAAAAAATACATAGAATTCATATATTTCTTTGCTGAGAAATAAAAATGTGCTTCATTTCAGTGCCCTGCACAGCAGAACCCTTGGTGCCAGGCTCCTGCAGAGGGCAAGGAAGTCTGAAAGCAGCTTGTGCTGGGCACAGTCCCTCCCGAGAGAGCAGACAGGGGAGGCTGAGGGGCCCTCAGCACGAGGGCAGGGAGCTACTCCACGAGGAAAGGAAAGAGTTAAACACAATGGGAAAATGTCAGCTTCCACCTTTTTTTCCAGGTAGGAAACCAAGGGTATCACTATGGCCGTTTGACCTTTCCTGCCACCCTCGCCCTACTTAGTGACAACTGAGCCCAGATAAGCCAATCCTTTAATACATTTTTTTAAGCACGGAAGTCGCTTTCAGAAGCTGTCATAGCCATTTACAGTGAGTTAACCCAGTACCTGTATTGAGCCAAGCAGCACAGGAGAAAAACGAGCCCAAGGCTGAGAAGTGTCAGTGACACTGTCTCCGGGAGCAGAGTATCTGCAGAACTGTCTTTGTGCGGCTTCTCCCTGAGCCTCAGTGACTGCATGAGGCCTGCAGGGAATGCGCCCCTCCTCCCCCGCCCATTCCCGCACCAAGGAGCACGCCCCCTGGTTGAGATTCATGCCCCCTGGTTGAGACTGACGGCTGTGGGCAAACTCCACTGCACCCTCAGGAACACTTGGCCCTGAGCTGGCTGAGAGCCCTGCACTCAGCTCATTTCATGCATGTACATCTATGCTGACATGTATAATGAACACACAAGTTCCTAAATGTAATAAAGTAAAAGTTTGGGCTATACAAACGTCACTTCTAAATTCCCCAATTAACCTTCTGCTAGAAATGCAGCCATGGCCTCAACTTCTGAATCGCCGAGAGGGCTCAGTAATCAAGACATGGCAAATACTTCTGCACACAATCCAAGTGCCCGCTGAAGGATACCAGCCACAAGCCGTGGTAGAGACTCAAGGCCACGGCATCAGTTACTACACAGGCAACGTGAAGGAGCCAGCTGGGTGATGTGAGTTATGAAATTCCTATAAACAAATGTATATAATTTTTTTTAAAATATATTTTATTGATTTTTTTAGAGAGGAAGGGAACATCGATGAGAGAGAAACATCGACCAGCTACCTCCTGCACAGCCCCTACCAGGGATGTGCCCGCAACCAACGTACATGCCCTTGACCGGAATCGAACCTGGGACCTTTCAGTCCGCAGACTGACGCTCAAACCGGTTTTGGCCAAATGTATATAATATTTATATTTTAATAACCATAGATACTTGCTAAACTGTTTTATCATAAGCTTTAACTGATAACCAGCCAAAACTTTTCAATCTTACCTAGACGAGAGGGGTCCCAGAGAGGTTCTAAAGCAAGGCACGCCCTTGGCCATCTTTTCCTAAAAGCCTGCTCTACTAATTTGTTTTCGGAAGCAGGATCTATCCTCCAGAAGGAGCCTGCAGAAAACCAAACCTGCCCCCTCAAAGACAAGACAGTCCTCCAGCCGTCCGCAGGCCTTTCAGTCTGGAAGAGAGACATATGCCGAGCTGCGGCTGAGAAAGCACAGCCTGCGGGGACACTCCACACAATTCTGAGCAAGGCAACCTTGCAGCTGCTGCTTGGGGATGAGCTCCTCAGTGGTTCTGGAAACCGGCCGCCAAGTCCCAGTGCAGGACCATGCCTGCCCGTCACTGCATGGACCGAGGTGGGGTGGCCAGGGTGCAGCTGCTGGGAGGGAGGGACACGAGCACAGGGAGACCCTGGAGACCCACAGAGGATAGACCACGCTGTGGCTTCACCCCCTCCCGGCGAAGCACCTGCCAAGCAGGCTCCTAGGCCAGGGAGTGGCTGTATTCTGTCCTGAAATGTACGAGGGCCCAGTCTGCACCACAGAGTGGGATCTAAACCCCTCTCCACCCTGACGACATCTCAGGGCCACCTGCGATTTTCCAGCCAATAACACTTTAGAAAATGTGACAAAGTGATAGGAGCGTTTAATGTAGACACAACAGGATGAATTAACTATGTTTCTAAATTAATTTAATAAGGCTTTTGTGATTTTTTTAAGAGAAAAAAGGGAGGGAGAGAGAGAGAAACATCGATTTATGGGCCTGGAGAGGTGGCACCTCTGCCCTGACACGGGTTGACTCGTGCACGTGCCCCATAGAGATCATACCCACAACCTTGGCGAAGTGGGACAGCATTCTAACCACCTCAGCTACCCGGCCAGGGCAAAGTCTTTGTAATTTGATCAAACCAAGCTACCACACTGGGTCAGACTCCAGTGATGCAGAAGTTGATACGGTGGTCACAGAAAACGCAGTTACTGTCTTTAAAACTGAACTGAGGAAAAAGGTCTAACAATGAGCAGGTCTCTCCAAACCCCAACTGTGGCTGCTGCCGGGAACCAGGAACCACCTGCCCTCAGCTGACCAGGAGGAGAGATACATGGTCACTCAGACTCGCTCTGCACTGTCCTCTGAGATCCTTCCCACACAGACTCTGTTCCTCAAGGGCCGTTTGTCTGTCCAGTGACCAACACTCAGCACTGAGCACTCCAGTGTGCGCTTTGCACAGAAAGTGCCTGTAAAGCGACTTAGGAACAGGAAACACACCCAGCACCTTCCAGAGGAAGGGCCACGTGCAGGGTGGGGCGAGCACAGAGCATGCCCTTGACGGGAAGAAACCAGTTCTGGTCCTTTCAGAAGCTGAAGGCCCCAGAATTCTCAGACTCTTCATGGTCACAACAAACACCTCAACTTTGGGCTGGAAAGTTATAAATCATAAGAAAACATTTTGGGCCAAAACCGGTTTGGCTCAGTGGATAGAGCATCGGTCTGCGGACTGACAGGTCCCAGGTTCGATTCCGGTCAAGGGCATGTTCAATGGTTGTGGTTGATGTTTCTCTCTCATTGATGTTTCTAACTTTTTATCCTTCTCTCTTCCTCTCTGTGAAAAATCAAATATATATATATATATATATATATATATATATATATATATATATTTTTTTTTTTTTTTTTTTTTTTTTTTTTTTAAAGAAAGAAAACATTTTGGCACAAATACACAACCAAAGGGAAGAAGCATCTCATCTCTCCAGACAGGTTCCTAGGTCATCTTGTTCTGTCCTAGAATTTCCTCTGGATTGATGAAGAAGTCCTGCCATGGATGCACAAAGCCAGACATCAAGTCAGTGTGAAAGAAGGGGGGTGGGCAGTGTCAACACCTCAGGAACCGATGCCCAGCCAGACACACACTGCACTCCCCCTCCCCACACCGCCCCGGGCCAGGATGCCACCTGGACACCCACATTTTAAAAAGAAGAAGGATCCCACTCTTTTCTAAAACAGGTTGCAAAATGGAAAGGACTTTGGTTGAGGAGGAGGAACGACATGGGGGAGAGTTCTCACACGGGCAGACGATGGGAAGAGCAGCTCAGAGGCTCTCCTGACAGTGAAGGGCACACGCAGCCAGGGCACAGCTAGGACCATGGCGCTGTGGGAAGTGTACCGGAGAGGGTGTGTCCTAAGGCAAAGGCAGGGCTGCAGCAGGAACCCCTTCCCGCTAAAGTAGCTGGAGGAGGTGTGAAATGTCCCGGAGCGGCCTTACACAGGCAAGAGACACAGTCACCTTTGGACCTTCACCTGGGCGGAAAAGACGTTTCGATAAAAACAAGCATTAATGATAGAGTTCAACAGAGGGGGGTCTGAGAACTCACTCCCAAGACAGCAGCAACCGGGCAACAGGGCATCCACTCCCATCGCCACGACCATGGCTCTGGTCCCTGGGCGCCCTTTAGCCAGAAAACCTTTTGATGCTCAGAAGCAGCTCTCATTCAAATGGATGTTTGGAAACATAGGGAAATATGACTGTAAGGGAAATGGTCCTTAATTCTGGCCAGAAACTCTCACTCCCATCAAGCCCAGCTGACTGGCTTTTCACAGCATCAGAATCCCGCACACAGGGAGCTGAGCTCCACAGCAGCCAGACATGATCCTGCTGCTATCAGCCCCGCTCCCTCCAAAGCCCAGCCACACCGCCCAGCTACAGTCCGATAAGTTCTGCAAGGTTTCATCAGGCAGCTGAGAAGAGACCTGCCAGGTGGCTGACAAGGAGCCTCCCCTGTCATCCGCTCACTGCCACCAGGAAGGCCGCCCGTATGAGCACCTTGGCCAGGAGCACCACTAAAAACCCTGCCTGACTAGGACCCTTAGCCGGAAGCACTTGGCTTGCCCGGAAGCCTGCTTTACTCACATGTCCCTCTGCAGGCGGAAGAAATCAGTTTTTACCTTCTGTTAAACAGAAATGCCCCCCGACCCCGCCCTTGCCTACATCATTTGGTTATGGTTCAACAGACACATTTGTCACAAGATCATTTACTCATTAAGCCTCAAAGAACTCTAGCCATTCCTGGTTACTTCATGAATTTGAAAGTTATAAATGTGCATTTTTTCTCTCTCTCATTATGCTTTAACATTCTAGACTTCAAATTTACCCTTTTCTATACTGTCTGAATTATAGAGATCCTACTGTATATTACATACCCAGTAAATACACAACAGACACACAGAAAAAAACACCCCACAATGTAAAGGTTTAAAAAATGAAACTAAATTAAAAAGCTAAACCATGCAAATATTATGCCCTGATTTCAAAGTGTTCTCTGAGGACACTGGTTCCAGACTCACTAGGAATGGGTTGAAGTGCAGGCGGACAGGCCGGTGGGCTCCCCACTTTAGCAGGCGACTGGGGGCATCCATGTTTTATGTCCTGGCCAACCGGGAAGATATCTTTGAAGAAGGGTTCCTCAGTAAAACAGTTTGAAAACTGTCTCTAGGCAAACTTCTAAAAGTGGGATACTCAGCAGACAGAATGCATAAGGGAGACAACAATGCCAGACTCACTCCTCCATTTCAGACAGGACGTGACGGCCCTAATCAAAGAGAACCAGGAACATGCCCGCCTCCCCGCCTCCCTGCCCTGTGGGGATCGTGACAGTGCAAAGGGTAGGCTGAGGGGCTTCAGCAACCACCATTCCTTCCACTCGGCACCAAGGGTCAGAAAAGGCGTGGCATTCCCTGAGAGGAAACGCCACCCCCTCACTCAGCACCTTCTCCCCTGGGCCCGGTCACACCACCATGGCTGAGCTCCCCTCTCAGCTGTGACTAGCCCCAAGAAAGCACTGGGTGGAACACTTCGTAACAAACTGGAATGGATTTACCTGCCAGCCCTTGTCCGCAGTCCGGTAGTATGGGTAGTTTTTAGTGATGTGCGTGTAAATCCCATTGAGGGTGAGCTGTTTATCAGGAGCCATTGTAATTGCTTGTACAATTAATTGTGCGTAGGAATAAGGTGGCTTTGAATCATCCTGTATTCAAGTGGAAAAAACACACACACAGTAATGAGTTATCAAAACCTTTTACTAAATGTACTAAAATTTAGGATTCTTGGTGGTTTTAGTATGTGTGGTTTGTGTGCATACATGTGTGTTCAGACATGTGCACACACGCCACCTTCAGCACTGGGACACAATGGACGTCACCCCACAAGGATGAAGGGTTCTCCTGTACCCACATGTGCTCAGCTCTCAGCAGACCCCACTCCCAAGAGCAGGCTGAGCAGTGACCAGTGAGCCCAGAGCCAGCCACGTCCACGCCAACGTGCACGTCACTGACAGACCACATGCTTCCCCGAGGCCTGGTCGGGAGGCTAGTAGACACGCAGGCCACACAGCAAGCGCTCTGTCTACACGATGTCCCTGGGTTCCATTTCAAGACTAGGAAACATTTACCTTTGGGCTGTCTCCACCCGAAGCTTCCTTTTCGTTTTCTGGCTGTGAGCTGTCAGCCATTAGATGGAGGTCAGAGGAGATCACTCGGCCCATTTTGTACCCTGAGGACCCTGCTCCCCGGGGGCTGGACGGGCAGGAGTTGGCAGCACTGTGGACGAGAAAGACGTCGAGTCAGCCTATCAGAGTGACCCTCACACCGTGCTTCATACCTGGTTCTGATTGCAGGGAAAACATCTATGAAAGTAAGAGAATGTCAGCATTTCCCATGAAAAATAACTCACTCATTCTCTGGGAAATTGAAGATCATCCCAACAAACGGGATTTATTCCACATGTCAAATCACATGATCACAAAGCAAACCCTCACAGGAGGGCTGGCCCCGCTTCACCAGCGAGTAAGAGAAGCTCAGGTTGGTCCTGGAACTGACCAAAGACAGGCCACACGTTATGTATGGCTCCAGCTCCAGCCTGGGGGAGGGACAGAGAACAAGCTCTCCCCCCCCCACCAGGGAGCTGAGGACAGGCGGGAAGGACGTGCCTGCAGCCACCCAAGATGGTTAGGGCGAGTCAAGAAGGGGAGGGCAGCGACCTGCAGGGTCCCATGGCTGTTTTTGACCTGGCGCTCAGCTACTGTCTTCTATGAGCAAGGCACAACCTGAACACAGTGTACTGGGCTTCAAGTTCCACTGGGGACAGTGTACCCCAAAGGCACCCTCCTCCACTGCCCGAGGAGCCCAGTCTCTCTTGGGAAATCATGACGAACACAGTTTGTCACTTCACTGGGATCCAACTCATCAATCCAAAGTACAAGTCATCAGAATTTACATAAAATTGTAGCAGACTGAAAAGCCTCAAACTGCAAATGAAAATCTCAGACTTTAGACCAATGTGACAAGTAAAAGAACAGTAAGCAAAAACTAGGACCATCTGGGAAGCGTGTTTTATAACATCGGGAGCTGAGAGGGTCCTTGCGTGCTCCTGCTCACCCGTGACTCACCATGGCCTGGAAAGGACCAAGACTGGAGGAGAGCCCTAGCTGGTTTGGCTCAATGGATAGAGCGTCAGTCTGCGAACTGAAAGGTCCCAGGTTTGATTCCGGCCAAGGGAACATGCCTGGGTTGTGGGCTTGATTCCCCAGTAGGCGGCGTGCAGGAGGCAGCCAATCAATGATTCTCTTTCATCATTGATGTTTCTATCCTTCTCTCCCTCTTCCTTCCTCTCTAAAAATCAATAAAATATATTTATTTTTTTTAAAAATATATATTTTATTGATTTTGTACAGAGAGAAAGAGAGAGAGAGAGTCAGAAACATCGATGAGAGAGAATCATCGATCAGCTGCCTCTTGCACACCCCCTACTGGGGATGTGCCCGCAACCAAGGTACATGCCCTTAACCGGAATCGAACCCGGGACCCCTCAGTCCCCAAGCCGACGCTCTATCCATTGAGCCAAACCGGTTTCGGCAATAAAATATATTAAAAAAAAAAAAAAAAAAAAAAGACTGGAGGAGAGGACAGAGATGCGGACACAGATGCCATCCCCGAGCAGGCCTGCGTACCTGATGGTTCCCGTAGGGGAGGGCAGGGGGCTGATGAGGTGGGCCATGGAGTCTGGAATGTTGATGGTCAGGGGCGAGATGTGGGCCTGCACGGGCTTCACAGGAGACTCGGGTGCCTCCTGCTTCTCCCTCTTCTCGCTGGACAGCGCAGTGAATGTGATCTTGATGTTTGTGCTCGGGAACCTGAACGTGCACCTGAAAAAGAGCCAGCGTCAGGGCCTGTGGCTGGACTAGAGGATGGAGTGCCCAACCTAGCAGGACTCAGAGCCCACCTGCCCCAAATGCTCACGAGACCTGTCTGCTGGGGAGGAGCCCCTGAGAAACCCACCTCACGTTATGAGCAGCTGAATGAACGAAACCACAAACCAAGCATTTATGACTTTAAAACACCAGTACAAACAAAAACTTCAGACCAGCCAAATAGGAAAAAAAGGAGACTCAAAAATGACTCAAATACCACTCAATCTGCATTTTTTTAAAAATCCTCATCTGAACAAGTGTTTATTCATTTTAGAGAGAAACATTACACCCTGACCTGGGATCAAACCCAAAACCTTTTAAAATAAATGCACAAAATTGCCCAGTTGTTGAGCATCAACCTATGAACCAGGAAGTCACAGTTTGATTCCAGTCAGGACACATGCCTGGGTTGTGGGCTTGATCCCCAGTGTGGGACATGCAAGAGGCAGCCGATCAATGATTCTCTCTCATCATTGATGTTTCTCTCTCTTTCTTCCTTCCTCTCTGAAATAAAAAATAAAAAAAATAAAAAATAAAAAAATAAAAAAAAAAAAAAAAAATATATATATATATATATATATATATATATATATATATATATATATATATGAAATAAGTAAAAAATAGCCGAAACTGGTCTGGCTCAGTGGATAGTGTCGGCCTGCGGACTGAAAGGTCCCGGGTTCGATTCCGGTCAAGGGCATGTACCTTGGTTGCGGGTACATCCCCATTGGAGAGTGTGCAAAAGGCAGCTGATCGATGATTGTCTCTCATCAATATTTCTTACTCTCTATCCCTCTCTCTTCCTCTCTGTAAAAAATGAATAAAATATATTTTAAAAAATAAGTAAAAAATAAATGTATAAATCCATTTTAGGTCAGAAGATTTAAAGCAGACTTTAGTATCCTTACTATCCATTATTCCTTTCAAGATAAACATACAAGAATAATTGGGTCACTAAGCACAGACAATTTTGTGACTTTCTTATTTAAGAAAAATCACTCCTTTTACTTAAAAAACTATCAGCTTTTTCACTGAGCAAGCAAAAGTCAGATATTAAATTTTGGGGGAAAGGTTTATAATTCAACACTCTGGTTTACCTTCAATATAGCTTCTTTGCCATGTCTCAAGTATATTTAAAAAAAAAGCAAGCCAAATGCCTTCAAAGAATAAAAGTTAAAAATAGCTCCATAGATTCATGGTCTCAGAGCCTGCATTTCACACCCAGTTACAAGCACCTGATTCGGGTTTTATTTTTAAACAACCAAAAGACCAGTGATGGTGTTCAGCTGCTCTGCCCACCACCCTGTCCCACTTGGATGCTCGCCAAGGAAGGATCCAGCACATGGTCCCCTGTACTCCTGGCGACATCGTCAGGTGATACTTCTCAACTCTTAGTTGGGGCAGGAGACATCTCTCAGCAGGGCTGGGGTCTCCCTGCCATCAGGCCCTGCCCCTGACTTCCCTCAGAGGCCAGTTCTCCACCACAGCCTCAGTGGACAGATCAGTAACAGTATTCAGAGAAGCAGCATGGACAAGGATGGATGAGGAGAGGGCGAGTCCGAGGTCCTGGAGGAGCAGCAGCAGCTCCCACAGAAAGGAACACTGATGTGGACACGACACAGGACGGCAGCCGGGGGCGGGGGCCGGGGGGGGGGGGGGGATGCAGGAGGCTTCAAGCTCCGGGGCCAGCGCCTGTCAGCACCTGACTCCACATCCCCACCCTAAGGCCTTGCCTTCAGATAGCCTCTGTGCCTAAACAGGTCCACAGTCCCTTGTTCACATTTTCCAAAAAGCATAACAGCTCCAAAAAGCTTGACCTGAAATCAGATGGCAGCCAATTCTGACCTGAACCGAGGAGCTAATTATAGCCTTTAATTATCCCACTTAGAATATGCATGTGTTGTGCCACACTGGATGACAGGGTGCTGGGCGCACACGCACTGTGCTACTTTCAAAACCCGAGACACCACGGCTGCCGGGCTTCAGACGATTCCTGTCTAGGCACTGCCTGCTGGTGCCTTTCCTTCAGAATTTCTCCAGAAATATTCTGACTTGTTCAAGAGGAAATCAGATGGCTTACTTAAAAAATGATTAATCCACTGAGCCACTGTCCAGAGTAGAATCTCGATTTGTACGTTTGTTGTTGTCATCAATGGCAATAAATGCACATAAAAATTTAAAGCCTTCAGACTCCTGCCCACAGCCTTCCCAGGGCTCCCGGCTCTAACAGCAGCTCAGAGTGGACCCAGAACCATTCACATAGACACTAAGCCAGCGAGAGAAGCTGCCTTGAGAGGCAGGCCCTGGGATCCAGCAGACAAGCGGCACCTGCCGTTTTCCCAGCCCCGCCTCCCTACTGGCACACCCACAGAGACCCTCACAAAACCTCCTAAGGAAAAATGTCCCATTTATACACAATAACGCTCTTTTCACCTACTGCCTTCTTGGTAACTAGAACCCCACTTTCCGTCACGTCTTATCTTCAAAAATTTAACCCCACTCCATAAATGACCAAACTGCAATGTGTCTTGTTTTTTAAATAACATTTCACCAGGAATCCTGACACCTGCAACAAACGGCTGGATCTGGAGAGCACCATGCTGAGTAAAGTAAGCCAGACACAAAAGGGCAGACACGCGATTCCACATGAGGTCCCTAGAGTAGCTTGACAGGTGGCAGCAGGGAGCACAGTGGTGGGTGCTGGGGCTGAAGGTGGGGGTGAGGAGCTAGGGTTTCATGAGGACAGTTTCAGTTTTATAAGACGGGCACTGGAGATGGCGGTGATGGAAGGCTCCACTGAGCTGTGCACGGCAAGATGGCAAATACCATGTTGTGTGTACTTTACCACAATAAGACAACACTTTAAAGAGCACTTACAAGTGTGTCTGGTACATAGGTAAGCAGTCTTAAATCTTAGCTATTGTTTCTTTCTTGTTTTTTTGTTAAAGACATTCATCAAGGGAATGAGAAGACAAGCCAGCCTGGGAGAAAATATTTGCGAAAGACATCCGGATCAAGGTCTGTTACCTAAAATATGAAGAGAACTCTTACAAATCAAGAGGGAAACAATCCAATTTTAAAATGAGCAAAAGACAGTGGCTGAGCGACAACCAATCAACCAGAAGGTCATGGCTGGTCAGGGCACAGGCCCAAGTTACGGGCTTAATCCCCAGTGCGGGCTGTGCAGGAAGCAGCCAATTAGTGATTTTTTCTCATCATTGATGTTTCTCTCTCTCCCTTTCTGAAATCAATAAAAATGTATTTTTTTAAAAGAAAAAAAAAGGAGTAAAAGACCTGAACAGATACCTCACCAGACACCTTGGGCTGACCTCTAGGCAGTGCCAGCCTGACCCAGAGCACAGACCCAATTTGCAAAGACTCAGATGGAAGAGCTCCTGGTATTCAAGGAAACCTGTCAAAACACTGGCTGAACATAAGCTATGAAACAGGACTTCAGGAATCACACTGTCGAGGAGGACAGTCTTTGCAGTAAGTCTGGGAAAGTCAGTAGGTACAAAGGACTCCTATGGCCTTCAACCAACAACAAACAGCAAACCCTAGGAAAGACTATCTGATTTCCAGAGCTATTCCATTATAAAAGTCAAATATCCAGTTTCCAACAAGGAAATCACAAAACATAAGCAGGAAAGTATGGCTCAGTCAAAGGAACAAAGCAATTTAACAGAAATCTGAAGGTGAGACACAGGACTTGCTAGTCAAAGATTTTAAAACAACTGTGTTAAATATGTTCAAACAGCTCAAAAAAATCACAAAGAGCCAGGACCGGTTTGGCTCAATGGACAGAGCATCGGCTTGGGGACTGAAGGGCCCTGGGTTCGATTCCGGTCAAGGGCATGTACCTTGGTTGCGGGCATATCCCCAGTAGGGGTTGTGCAAGAGGCAGCTGATCAATGAATCTCTCTCATTGATGTTTCTAACTCTCTCTCTCCCTTCCTCTCTGTACAAAAATCAATAAAATATATATTTTTTAAAATCACAAAGAACTAAAGAAAACAGGAAAATGATGTATGAACAAGACAGGAATATAAGGAGAAATTAAAAGAAGGAATGAAACAGAAAGTAGAGTGATTAAAATGAAAAATTCAGCATAGGGATCTAATAGTATATTTGAACAAGCAGAAATAAAAACCACAAACTTAAAGTTATCAAGTCTGAGTGAAAAGAAGAGTGAACAGAGCCAAAGGATTCATGGGACATTAGCAGGCAGACCAACAACATACACTAGAGCAGTGTTTCCCAAACTTCTCTCATGATGAGAATCACCTGGTGGAGTTGTTAAATACAGATTCCTGAATCCCAATTAAGAAGTGCTAAAGTGGTAAAATTGTATACTTAACTAGTTTAGAGCACTAGTTAAGTATACAGTTTTACCTATATGTTCCCAAAAATTCTAGTTTAGCACTTCTTAGTTGGGATTCAGGAATCTGTATTTTAACAACTCCACCAGGTGATTCTCATCATGAGAGAAGTTTGGGAAACACTGCACTAGAGAATCACAAGGTGTAGAGAGAAAGGGGCAGAAAGGATATTTGAAAAAATAACAGCTGAAAACTTTCCAAATGAAAGACAGGAACCTACACATCCAAGAAGCTCAACAAACCCCAAGTTGAATAAACACAATACCCTCTATTGAGGCATTATGATTAAACCATCAAAAGACAAAGAGAGAATTTGAAAACAGCAAGAGAGAAGTTAACTTCTCATAAATAAGGACTCCCTCAACAAGGTTAAAAGATGGATTTTTCATCAGGAACAAAAAGAAAAAACCTGTCAACCGAGCATTACATCTAGGAGACCAGGCAAAGTGGGAACAGAAGACTCAGGAGGAATCAGAATGGGCGATTTAAACTACATCTTCTCCCTTGTAACTCCAACAGCTGCAAAAACTGATGGGCACCATCCTAACATCCTCCATTGTTTAGAAATGGAAA